TTGATGTTTTTTCGCTTTCGGTAACCCCGGTATCGGTATCGGTATCGACACAATGCGTTACAAATCAAATACTCGTGTATCACACTCGACAACACGCTCTTGATTGAAAATAGTCTCATTGTCTTGAACAAAAATGTACATTAAGAAGAGAAAGTAAGTGTTTAAACTAAACACGATGTTATATAGCCCTGAGTATTATTTAATTATGGTTCAACGAAAAATCAATACGATAAAATATCACTTACGCGTATACTTATATGGTTACTCTTTAAACTGTATACAGACTCATTGAGGAAAAGGCGAAAATGGAATAGGACAGTATACGAAGAAGGAGTCTATGCATTACCTCCAGCAAGTGCCGCAGCCTTTGACCCAATTTTGTTCTTCTTTCCTCCTAGAAGCAAGTCGAGATGTTAGTAATAACTTACACGAACGCCACCAAATATTCTCTTATAAATGTACGTAACGTAAATTAATATACTCTATAGCTCTAGAATGTTAACAGATTATTAGCTTTCATTCTTAAATGAATTCAATTTGACGAGACTCACTTGGCAAACTGAAAGGCGCGGATTCGAATGGATCTTCTTGTAAATCTGTACACGTCATAACAAGACTTTCACGGCTTTTTACACCGCTAATACTTGTATTACTTCCTCTTCTAATTTTATCAAACTCCGCGCCAAAAATATGATCTTCTGTTAATTGATTAAAAGGTTCAACATCTTCGAACGGATTCCAAGCTGCTACGTCTGCACTTAAAGATCTTCCTTCCGTAGCTATCACGCTCGAAAGTTCACCCTAATCGAAAGTTCTTCGTTTTATAAATCATTTGTACAGTTCTATTATATGCACGTGTGCCCACGTAGATACAAACTCGTGTTATTTCAAACATTTTACAATAGACTGTATATGTATAAATATTTGTGTAATTAGAAATCTTCTTCAAATATAACAATATTAACACTGTTTTCAATTTGGAAACAAAATTAAAAAAAGAGAGATTCAACTGACTTAATTGTTAATTACATAATAACTGTGCAGTGCAAGAAACAGAAACAACAACAACAACAACAACAACAACAACAACAACAACAGCAACAAGAAATCAATATTGATTTAAATGTACAAAAGAGATAAAAACGATCAAATGAAAATCATAAAATCCGTCAACACGTTAACTACCATCATTCGGTTGAAAAACAGTCGTCTGTTAAAGAACAAAAGTAATGTTGGAAAAATTTGCTCCTTAACCCCATAAAATGAGAAATAACCAGAATAAAGATGGTCAAATTTGAAAAACAACCACAACTCAACAACACAACCACCACAACACACAAACAAAAAATAATAAAGCGTAACGATAATGATAAAATTAACAGAAAGGGAAATTAAAATAAATTTGTGCGCTTTATGTACTTACAATACGTACATGCGAGGCACTAGTTCCCAAACAAGGCCTTATGTCGGTTAAAACTTCTGGAGATGTACCATCTTCTGAACGTGATTTCACCGAAGCCTCGTACGGAGCAAGAAATTGTGTGGTTTCATTTGCAAATGCTCTATATAAAGAAAAGAATAGACTCGCGTGTACACAGTTTGTATAAGAAAATTTCATCTTGTAAAAAAAGATATAACATACTTGTTGAAAGCACTTGTATCGCTAACGTTTCTTCTGTGACGTGCAGAGGACAGTGTCGGACTATCGGGTGGAGAGGCACTCGAACTTATATTTTGACTCAAGCTCTCCGTTTTATTTACTGGCTTCGGTAAAGTGGGGGGTGTTATAGGAGTTACCTTATTAGATCCACTTGGAATACTCAGTTTCGATGCTAATGAAGTAACGGGTGTGAACTTCGAAGGCGGGCAACTGGCAGAAATATTGGACGCTTTAGAAAGGGTTTTAGAGGGTTTGGGAGCTACGGGAGGTGGTATTTTTGCGGGTGGCGGCATGGTTCGAGTATCGTCTTTGAACGGATCTGGATATCCTGTAAGCATAAATAATAATGTCTGAATCTAATTCGATTGAATTTCACGAAATTTAATAATGCCTTCCACGAGGTTCCTTACCCGATGGTGGGAATAGCGCTTCTAAATTTTCTTCGTTCACGTTCGTTGTCGACTTTGAATCGAAGTAATATGCACTTCTCTCCAAAACAGTCACCGGGGATTGTCTGGTCATAGGACTTTGCGATTGTTGACCCTGTGCCTGTGAGAAGGGAACATTTTGACCGGGAGGACAAACTTGCGACGAAGTTTGATTAAAGGGTGACTGCGTTGACATTTGATGAGACGTTTGCGCGTTCACTGGTACCGACTGAACGGTTGATTGCGTGCTTTGCCCCAAGTAAGACTGAGGCGCATTCAACGAAGTAATTTGTTGGCCAATCGGAACGTAGGAAGCTGGAATTCCGACAGAATTTTGCGGTTGCACCTGATTCCCTTGACCAGATATTTGGCTCACGATTTGCCCGCTTAAACTTATAGGTCCCGTGCTCACAACAGCCTGCCCTTTTGGTCGTTGCCTTGGTGTGACCGAAGTACCCTCAACTGTACTTATAGGTGACGGTTTTGGTGTTTTTACTAACGACGATCTCTTTACAGTCTCAGATTCCATAAGGGGAACGGGTAATGATTCCAAAACAGGAGTTGGAACTTTCTAAAAGGATAAGGAAAAATGTGTATGCTTTCACTGACTAGGGACGTTCACAAATTCAAAGATTGATAAAATTTTTTAAACAACACATGCAAATTGAGCAATTTATCCATAACAGAAAACCATTATGTCTACACAAAAACATTATTTACGTACATGTAAGTTTTGTATGGGGCATTCCTTGCCCTGGATTTGAAAAGCAATCACAGAAACTTGGTAAATGTCAGGGCGGCTATCGGGATCCAGCTCAAGCATATAACGAATCAGACAATGAAGGCTTCTACTATATCTATATAAAGTTGAGTGTAGTTCTAATAATTTTATTATGTAAGGTGTTAAAAATAAAATGTTTTAAAAGAATATACATATACGTATATATGTAAAGTACAAACCTTGAATTATCCGGTATAGTAAAATTTCCTGTCTGAATAGCAAGTGTGCTTTCTCCGAATGGTAATATGAAAAAACAAAGTTTGTAAAGTAAACATCCCAATGCCTGAAATAAAACAAAAATCTTTACTCGATCCGATTCACAGACAACTCCACTTATACATCTAATACTTATAAAAATTTATCGTACCCATATATCAGCTTTTGTCGTAATAGATTTCCCACAGTACATGTCAACCATTTCAGGTGCTCTATAGCTAAGGGTCGTGTACTTTTTAATTTCTTCTTCCACTATCGCAGCACCTTGTACACCAGGATTAAGAACTTTAGCCGTTGCTGAACCAAAGTCGCACAAAACATAATGACCAGCATCGGAATATAATATATTTTCAACCTGAAATGTATACAGATATTCATGTAAATATGTAAAAAGTATATATATTTCCATGTAAATATGTCAACAAGATTTAATACGGATGATAAACCTTTAGATCCCTATGTATTATTGGCGTTTGACAGTGATGCAATCGTGACACGGCCTCGCAAACATCGCAAAATATTTGTAAGACTTCTGATTCGCTGAAACCAGTCTGCAACCTATAAACGATAAAGCAAAATTTTTCTTAGAATTTACGCATGTTACATTATTCGTGCATTCGATACATTTATTACCTATTGTTCATCATCTGAAGAACTTGAGACTTGCAATAAGGCATTAAAAGCAATAATTCATGTACTCCTCCACCTATGTGAGTGATGCTGCTATCCACATATCCAATGATATTTTTATGACCGTTCAAGTTACTCTATAAATTAAAATAAATGTAATCGATAGAAAATGATTTGATTCAAAAACATTATATGTATATATACACGCAACATTACTTTCGTACGTGTGTTTTAATAAATGGATAAATATTTATATAACTCACTGCAATTTGTATTTCCCGCTTACATACGTTGAGGTCATGTTCGTTATTAACATACATGCGTTTAAGCGCATACCGTCCACTCGAAGATTTAACCAGGAATACAATAGCAAACCCTCCTACAATATCAGTATCGAAACATAATTGTACGATCGTGTTACGTTCAAGAATATATCTAATCTTTGTACACGATACACGACCAACAATTTCTATATTCCTCTATGGTATTTACAGCGTGTAACTAATGTCTTTCCGATAGAACCATAAATTTTCTATTACCTGTTATAATTTTACAACTTTGCTTGTAATAACATTACATTTTTTAAGTATACATATAAAAATTTATGTAATAAACGTTGGTTACATATCATACTTCAGTCATCGAACAAAAATTATGAATTCGCTACCGTTTAACCCAATCCCCGCAAATCGCGATTAAATCGTTGATCGTTGTTAATATGTATTTTCTTGTCAATAATGCATAATTAATGTTGTTTTTGCGTGGCGTACATAAAAAGCAAACGAGATAATAGAGTGTATGAACGAAATGGTAGAAGGGATGATAAGTATTCAAGGTTGAAGGCAACACGTACCTTCCGCCAAAACTTCCTCAACAGTCACAGTATAACGTCCTACCACAAAGACCTTTCCCAAATAACTGTTCGGTTCCTTCGATGTGTTTTCGATTTTTGAAAATAATTTCTTCATATTGGCACACGTCGTCGGCCCTCCCAATACCGAACCGACTTGACATAAGGCCTCTTCTACTACTTAATCTTTAGATGTACAATATGGCGAGTTTATTTTCGTGAATCAATTATACTAATCGTACTTGTACCTTCCAACTTTTAAATCACAATAATTTTCGTGATAAACTAACTCCAATGAACTTAACCAAAGGATATAGTTCTAGTCATGATAACATTTAACGTACTTTACCCAGCCGACATATTCAGGCCGTATAAATTGCGCATGCTCCGCTCTGCATGAGCTACATCGGAAACATATGTGTACAACTTCCGCTCGAACGTCAAAACTTTCTTGTTGACTTTTTTTTTCGATTGGCTTTTTATTCGATCAAAACATCTTGTTTACAAAGTTCGAACCATATTGGGCCCGTTTTGCACTCTTTCTTCAACTACGAACTATAATTAGACAAATTGTTCTTTGGTCCTTAATAACTTTTTCTTGTGCCATTTTTCGAAACATTCTACAAATTAATCAGCGTCGTCATGACCGTGTGATTCTTTGTACAAAAATGAGACAGGTGAAAGTTTCAATGCACGAGAATTTTTTTATTATAATTTTGTTATACTTGGTTTCACATTAACTAAACGTTTTGACAACCCTGCAAATCGCACAATAATGTTTTATTTATATATTTAATACATACATACATACATACATACATACATACATACATACATACATACATACGTACATATATGTATATATGAGATACATTATTTGCGTTAGCGATATAGGTTTCATCGTCCCTTTTTTTTTTTTTTCCTATTTCTTCGTTTGTTAACTGCATTTCGCCTTTAAACTAACTTTCATATTTATCGATTATAGGCTCCTAAGCAAACGGACAACGATTCGATGGACATTCGTGCGCATTTGATGCTCGTGTATACTGTTTTTTTTTTTTGGTTGATTAATCGATAATAACGTATACAACTATTGGACAAAAGAAATCAATGACTTTCGTCGATCATGGACAAACTGTCAAGCGACGATGATATAGCCGAAATACTGTTATTGAAAAACCTGCCACCTAAATGTGAAAACGAAGAATATGTTAAATTTACTCCAAAAATTGAAAAATCCATACCAGAAAACAACTTTGAGGTATTTATCAAAGATTGTACATCGCAAGACAAGTCTCAACATCAAGTTAAAAATGAATTTATGGAATGTAATATCGAAGACTGTGACAGTTTGCTGAATTTCAATAAGCAGATAATCTCTTATTTGTTGGATTTGAAAAAACACATAACCTATGTTCTTCAAAAGTGTGAAAAAAAATTGAAAGTGGTAGAGTCAAATTTACAGAAACATACAATCGGAGATACAAAGATTTTGATTTGCAATGCCGGTATGCCATATTTCAAAGACAGAAATTATTTCTTTGCTCCTAACAACGACGACGAAACATTAAAAGAGAATCATAAAGAATTACAGCTTAGAAATCTTCCTAAAGTTTCACCATGGACAATAAAAGAAAGATACACCCTTTTGAAAGCGGTACAAGAAGAAACTATTGCAAAGGCGTTACACTCTCAAAAGATAGAATATATAAGGCTCAATGGGGTAAAGAAAAAAAAGAAGAAAACCAAAAAATTTCCACCTACAGATTTGGTAGAAATGATTGGTCCATTAGGAGGAAGGGAATTCGATTGGTTTAAAATATCGTCTATCCATTTTGAGGAGATACATGCACCGCTTGACTGTCGTATTATGTGGAATAGTTTTCTTCATCCCAAGATCAACAAAAACTGTTGGACAAAACCAGAAGATAATAAGTTGAAAGAAATTGTAAAGAACTATAAATATCAAAATTGGGATGGTATTGCCAAAGAATTAAACACAAATCGTACAGCGTATCAATGTTTCATTAGATACAACACAACAAAAAAATTGCCTAAAGTTAGAAACTGCATTTGGGAAAGCAAAGAGGACGAAAGACTTTTAAAGTTGGTTGACATATTTAAAATTGGTGACTTCATTCCCTGGGGTGAAGTAGCCAGTTGGATGCAAAAGAGAACTAAACAGCAAGCTTATTTCCGATGGAATTATAGTTTGGCCCCATATTTAACGAAAGGTAGATTTAGCAAATCCGAAGATAATTTGTTGAAGGATGCCGTCACTAAATATGGTACAAATTTTAGCAAAATATCAGCTGCATTGATGCCTAACAGATCAACTGTTCAACTTAATTATCGTTATCAATTATTAACTACCAACGAAGATAAAAATTGGAATGTATGGACGCTCACGGAGGATTCAAAATTGCTTGAACTCTACAAATGCTTTGGGCCAAATTGGTCTAAAATATCTGAAGCTTTTTCGTGTAAAACTAGGACTTACCTAAGACATCGACATGCAGCTTTGCAAAAATATATTAAGAGGGGTATTTCCGTTGTTGAGTTACACAAGAAAGATAAAAACGAAGGGCAGCAAAATCAGAAGGAAGAGGAATCTAAACAGAGAAGTAATAACAGGTTAAACAGAGATTGCGGAAACGATGTAGATCAAGAATTAATCGAGTATTTCTATATGAAACAAGCAACAGTAAACTCTATTCAGAAAAGGAGACATTGCTCGGTAGAAGAACTTGAGCGCAATACAAAAAAATTGTATAGCACTTTACAGCTGCTAAATGCTAAACTTAATATACCCGACGACATTAGTAATTTAAAATTAAACAATCGCGAGAAACAACTTTTATGTTCCTTGAGAGAATACACAAAGATGAAGAGTGATAAGAGACGACAATTTGAAGTTATAGATAAGTGTAGCTCGCTTATGTTTGGAACAAATTGTGATACAAAAGACGCCACTCATTACATACCACCACCTCCTTTTGACTCGCAGATCAAATTGAAAAAATTAAAGGAAACTCAGTGCATTGATTATCATCTAAATACAAATAATACTTTCTTAGTTGTAAAACCAGTAGACTTCAACACGCCAGACTTTGTAATCGCTCATATCGGCGGCAACGAGCAAGAACTACAATTTCAAAAGCTCAGTCAATTGTTTGAAGTTAATAGTTTAAAGTGTAGACAGAGTGCACATAGTATCAAAGATTTTTGCACTTTTTCAACTGGTATACCGCTACAACAAAATAATAGTAGCAATAGTTGTAATAGCAATAATAGGAATAATTTTAGTAATAATGCAGTGCAAGAAATGAAATTTATTGCTTGTTGCGAGAATCTTTCTGTTAATTCTTTTGAAAATAACAGTACTCACGATTATAGCTGTGTTAAGTTAAAGAGCGAAGATCACGAGGAATCGTGCGAACAAACGACGAAAAATATTACATTATTTAATACGTTAGAGAAGATACAAAATTGTGCATCCACTTCTAACGTAGAAACAAATATAGAACAAGATATACCCTCGATAGAAGCGACGCACGCAACGCTACTGAGTCTAAAGAATTTAATGTATTTGAAACAATTGAACGAAACGTGCAATAATATACATCAGTTTTTCACGAAATCAAAGAAATTTCAAGAATCGCTTAATTTACTAGAAACACGCCTCGAACAATTGTTTATGTACCCGATTGGCCAGTCAAAAACTGCATTACCGAAAGTTTACGTAATGGATGCATTTTCATACGATGATATTGCACCAAAAAGAAAAGCTTCTGAAATGTCCAAAATTCTAAAGCCATATAAAACAAAAAGGTTACATTCGTACGATAAAAAGAGTAAAAGTCTAAGATAATAGCGCGACAGATTCATTAATATTTCAAATAGTACTACTATATATACATGTGAAGTGTTATAATTACGGTATGAAAACAAAATTATCCCCTTTCATATAAAAAAGTACTAATTTGGATGAATCATATCTTTCAAAAAAATTTGCCAATTTTTTTAATCATTTAAAAATACGTATAGGCAAAGTTTTTAATCGATTTTATTCATCGAGTATGTGTGTGTATTGAATTTGAAGTATGTATGTATATTTATAGTGCAAATTGATAATGATATTAAGATAAATGAACAAGAATCTATGGATACAACGATCACTTGTATCCTTAAACGCGATACAAACACACTTCATTTAATTTTTTATTTCACGAGAAATAAAAAATACAAAACATTACATTGTTTTTTTTTTTAACGATACGATAAAGGACATTGTAAAATACATAAATCGACGAACAAATATAGAAAGAAGAGTGTATCATTGTATATAAATTCTACAATTTGTATATAAATTATAAGAATGTAAACAATTTCAATTACTTGGAAACAGTAGAATAAATCCTCATCAATTTTGTTTCAACATTTTTTTTGCCTAATTATTAATGCAAAATAAATATAAGTATATTTATCTATATTGCTAAATGTCCTTTCAACGATATTTGCCACACGTAATAGTTGTAACCAACACTCGCGTAGTGTATTTCATAATCATGATATCGAAGATAAATCATACGCGCAATTTAGAAAATGATTCACGCAAGCGGTGCAGTAATTAATCACACGTACAGAGTGGGGCTGGCTCAAAAGTTACCTAAGTAACTCATTTATTTTTTACGATAGACAAAAATGCTTGAAACAAATCTTATTTGGTTGTAAGGAGAGCCTAATCCGATGTTATTAGTTTTTCTGTAGGTGGGAGTGCAAAGTAGACTCGAAGAGAAATTCGGAGAATGAAAGTATCAAGACGTATCTATCCCAAAACATGCGTTGTGAGATATTCAGCTACCAAAATAGTGGAATTATAATCCTTGAACTGCTGCTTGAGCGTTGTATGAAAGTCTCATCATCTTGAATTTTAAAAACCAATACAGTGTTTTAACACTGTTAGAAAATATGTTATGTCCGTTGAAATATGAGTTCAATAGCCTATGAATCAAAGTTAATCATGGCTAAACAGTTATAATGCTTTAGTAGCTGAGTATCTTGAAAAATATTATTAAGTTAGATACATCTTATTACTTGTATTTTTCGAATGCATTAACATGTCGAATTTCGCTATATTTTTTCTTTAGAGTTGAACTATTGTAGCTAGTCATAATAATTGCACAACCTGCCGTAAAAACTCCCCACAGAAGAAGACTAGCCTCAATTTTATGAACTAAAGCTCGGATACTATCGAGTACCAATTTTAATGGTTTATTCGTAATTTTGAAAGTTGGCTTATCTTGAATTATTTTCATCTTTGACAAATAATCGATAAGAGGTGGATGATCATGACTAAATATTGGAAAATATTCCTCAATTTTTTCTCTCGTCCACCAAGCTTGTCTGTTCCACCTAATGAAGAAAAAAAGCAAGTAAAAGTAAAAGTAAGTAAGCGAAACACTGTACACCTGACCCTCTTTTTACAACGATTTTAAAGTTACATGAAATTAAATTTTGTACAGTTTTTTATTCTTTAAAACAAGCTTAAATATATTTCTATTAATCAGTATTTGCATGATTTTTATTTACACAATTTTCTTTCTTTTACACGGTACTCTTTCACCGTATAAAAAAAGGATTAGGTGTATGACGTGTATAAAGAAACACTTACGACTGGCTCCATGGAGTGTAATGATAGTGATAAAGACTGGCTTTAATGTATTTTGGAGGTTTATCACGGAATGGATTCTCCACATTATTCATTAAAGACAATACTTCAGGCTGACCGCTTAAAAGACGATAAGCTAACGACATAAGCCACGGATTCTGGTGATATGTACCCAATGCAGCAAACCACATTTGCCAGTCGAGACGTGGTTGATGTGGGGCTACGATCATACAGTTACGATCATATAGTTAAGAATATTTAAATATAGTGTTCCATATAATACGACAATTATCCATAGTGCAGATATCATTTGTTTAGACAGACATAAAATAAGCAATAATCGCTAGCACATGTATTTGACACGTGGTAGCAAACGTGTTGACAAATTTTTGATCAAGGCAAAAATAACGAATAAACAAATACAAAATGAAAATAATAATGTTACTAACGACCTACCGACAAAGGGTAATGAATTGTTAACGTTCCCTGGCTTATACAAGAATTCGTATTCTTTCCATGGCCCATCGATGTTATTGCTTCCTTCGATGATTACCTCTCGTCTACCTTCCACTCCAGTCATGCGTCTAAATAATCCATAACTATTTACCAACCGAAATGGTTCGACTTTTGCATGAATTTGTTTCAGTTGAGTCGGTATTGTTGAATTATAAGATTGATGTAACGTAGCATACGGTACCTAAAAACAGTTATCACTTTTATCTTTGCCACAGTTAGTTTCGATTTTTAACGCGTTGATCACCAAGTTATCCATTTTTACCAATTTTTTATGTTACCATAAAATTAGCAGAACTTGATAATTAAATGGGAAGAAATCATTTTCAACAAAACTGCACTTTATATGTATATCTAGCTCAGTGTCTATGATGATAATAATAATCATTGTCCCAATAAAGAACACACAAAGTCAGAAAAGTATTCGATACTTTCTAGTTGAACATTTATACTGAAACAGCTTTAATACTATCTTGTCAAGACAAACCAAGGATTCGACCACGCGTAGGAAACATATTCGATTTGTGCTGGTGATCAACGTATCAAATGATCGCACACAAATGTAACTCCATATACTTACAATACTTATAGAAACAATAAAACAAACTGCTGCTGTGTACAAACTTGTCACGAACGTCGTGAAAATTTTATTTCGCATTCCTTTGACCGTTAATAAAGAATTGACTATTGCATCTGCTATTGCTAAGCTAAGAGACGCTACGCCAATGTAAACAGAAATTGGAACCGCACGTGACAAAACATAATTGAATTGGTCTTGTGTGAAGGCTAAAAATGAAAAGTTTATAGTTGTAACGGGAGAAGCAACAATCATTATTGAAACAATCTTCCGTTTACGTTATAAATACGTACATACCGATATCACTTTGAATTGTCCAGTTATCGGTAAGTCTAACATTATAATACACACAAGTTCCATATAAGATAGCTGCATAAACTAGGCTACACAATATGGTAGAGAGATATTTTATAAAACTATTAGAACTATTATTTGATTTTCTCTTATAAAAAAATTGGTCGTCGAGTAAAGAAATGCACAAACAGATAGTTAGGAAGTTGAAGAAAGTATAGTTTCCTGTTGCTATAATGTGTATTTGAAGGAACATCTGGTTAAAAATAAAAATGATTAGATAAGTAATCACTGATATTATTACGTAACATATGCGACATATACATCCATCGAATATACTTACTTGAATATAAAAAGCTGTTATTCTCACTTTTCTATTTGGGAAGAAAAATAAAAATGGAACAACAAGTTCGGTAATATTCACAATGACTGTAGTAAAACGTAGAAACCACGTTGGCAAATGATGCGCATACCATGCTAACGGAGTAGGTATACATTGCGATTCAAAATGCACATTCAAAGCTAGAACATATTCATAACAACTTGTATAAATTATAAACCTGCTCTTTTCTTTTCTATGTTTTCATAAATCGAAGATATAATTATTTCAATATACTATACCATCTAATTTCCACCATACTGGGCAATAAGCAGTAAGTTTTACTACCCCGCTGGAAAACATTAAACGAAAAAGTAACCAACGTACGGTCCAGAAAGTCACAGCATCACTCGGTGTATTTGTTTTTCCCCGTTGAGAATACCATAACGGTGCTACTAATACACATAAGAATCCTGCTTCCAAAAGAAGCACATCCCTGTAAAATATGTAAAAAAATAAGAAAAAAGAAGAAAAAAACAAATTTAATATCAAATATTAAATATTTACCATTGAAACAACATAAATGTTTGCCCAATTCGGTAGAGAGAGTAATATAGTGACCACAGTGATGCAAATACCGGTGCAATGCAGAATCTTTGCGACACAAATCTATAACGAAATATTTATCGTTATCGTTCTTATTCCATTAATGTTCAAAGTACAAAAATATAACTGAAAAATTCTTACCCCACAAAGGAAAGAACAACTCCGATAAGTGATAATATATCTAGCATGTACTCGACGTTTAGTCCAAAGTAAGGAGCAAACCACAACAACGTTGGCTTCTGTGTTAATTTGTGAAGTAAAGTTCCCCGTCCTTTGAGATCCAACTGAGTTCTAGCTGGTAGAATTCCATTATCACCGTACAATCCTTTATATTTTTGTAACAAACGAATATACATAGACATTTAAAATTATTCTATTCTTCTGTAACTCACTTTAAATACAATATCACGTATTAAGAATATAATAGCAAGAAAAAAAGAACAATCAATAATAAATAAATAACTTTTCGAATACTTACCCGGAATTTGTACATAAAAGCTAAGGAACGCGAAGAGATATACAATACACATCCCCCGTAAGAATAAGTTACGAGTATATCGTACTTGTACCATCATAAATTCGTTGTGATCTCTACTTATTTTAAATTACTACTTCTCGTTTCTATAGAAAGAACGAAAAACCGGCAACACAACGGACAGAGCAATGCAACCTATGTTAAGTATCTTATACAAAACGTCCATTCGAATTTTATACTACGATTGCAAAAACTATTAGTTGAACTGGATTGGTGGTTTCACGTTTCACACGAAAATATGCATGCGTTGTGTACGTATGTATTATATGTAAATATCTATGTAGATACTACTGTCCCTACAATTGAACGCCTATGCTTTTAATTCTTGCTCTTTTAGAAGAAAATCACCATCTCCAGCACCAACCACAACGCCTCTTTAAAGAATGGATTTCAGTTGGAATTTGGAATTGGAACTAGTAACTTTCTCCTCGAAGAACAAAAATTAATAAACCAGGATAAAAAAGAATGATATAGTATATCTATCAAGATAGATGTAGAATCGATAGGGTTCGAAGAACTACTAAATTCCACGTGATCTAAACAACTTTTTCAGATCGTTCTTTAAAGGGATTTATAATACATGTTCTGTGATAATTTGGACAAAAATTTTGAAATAAAATTAACTATTTATCTATATTTATGCTTATCTGGATTGGCAACGTTCATGTGACACGAAAATGATAAGAGGATTACGTACTTACATAAGTAGGTACCTTTTAGTTCCTCGGGCCATGTGACACGAAAATGCATTCGATGAATAGGTCTATTCTGTACTTACTACTCTGTGACGATACATCTTTCACCAGAGTCTACATATATCAACTCAACGAACCAATAGGATTTCGATCCCACGACCATCTGTTTATATCGTTTCCATCCTTTCAGGAAATAGCTTATAGTAAACTTGTACGATGGAATAGAACTTTCCTTTCTTGCGTCAAGAAGAGGCAGCGCTGACCGCAGCCATATCGATACCCTAAACTGTGCTCAGAACTGAACTTCAAGTTTTTCTAACTTGTGACCTTTTAATTCAGTGTCATGAAACACGTGATGTAAGAAATATGTCGAACATCCGGTGTATGTGACTCCCTCTGAAAATGCAAAGAAAGTAAGTACCTACACCCGAAACAATCCGAACACAAAAATGGTGGATGCTGAAAATGATAGCCAGGATTCTAAGGAAGTAAATATCAGAGAAAATATGGATAACAATCAACAAAAGGGAGAATTGGTTCCCATGGAGGATAACGAAGTAAGAGATGTGTGTTAATTATATTGTCTTATAATCATTTTACTGTATAATTTACTTTTCCTTTTAAAAATGTTTCTCATATCTTATCCAAAAAACTAATAAACTTGATTTCGTCGTTACGTATTTAACTTAAACATTACCGGAAAATGTCGAATTTCTAAATGCATTTACAATTTGTTCAGTGATATGCTAGTGTGATTTAAATGTTCATCACAACCTGTTCTGTTCAAGGATGATGCGTTACATGTTTCAATTAAAACGTCATTCTTATGAATCTGCTTGATAAAAATCTATTGTCTTTCCAATTTGTTGTACAGGTGAATGCAGAAATTGAGGAACGAAGGAAAAAATATCAGCCTTCGCGTCTTGAATCATTCTTTGCAATAACAAAGTCTTTAATCATACGTGCCATTATTATTTATTTCGTTATTTATCTATTTAGACGTCCCCAAACCAATATTAATGTTCAATCTTCTGGTGCTGTTAATTCACCAGATTCGCTATCTATAAACATATTTCAAAATGGGACATTGTTCGATTTACATGTTTATTTATCAGAATCTGAGACTTTTAAACAGTTTAATGATACAGAGAAATTAATATGGTTGGAACAAGGATTAATTTATGGAGATTGGTATAGCGGACCAGATAAAGACGGCTCAAAGACTATAAAATATAAATTTAATCCATCCGATCAATTAAAAAACAATGGATCTATATACCTTCATGTATATGTTACAAAGAGCGGAAAATCTCCAAATCCTAAAGCAAGCAAAAATGTTTATGCGGGTGATTACATGTCATATTCTCGAATAATGTTAAATAAATTTAAGAAAATTAAATACCAAAAGAAACATAATTTGTTAACTGGTGAAACTACTGCGACTAAAGAGGAAATTGAGGTATATATAGGTTCAATTCGCTGTATACACGCGCGCGCGCGCGTCATTTGTAAAAAATTGAACATGTTAAATATTTGTTATAGAAAGCTGAAGTAATGAATCAAGAGTATGTGTCACATTGGCATCCTAATTTAACTATTAATTTAGTAACTGATCAAACTAATTGGGTACATGGTCATGTGCCATCTCCTTTAGATACGTGTAAGTTGTTTATTAGACGATGTGATTTGTATTAAATACAGCTTACATATTTATTTTTTTTAATAGACATCCAATTTTTACCTGGAGAGATATTTTATAAACCCGCGATACACATGAATGACTTTTGGAACATGCAAAGGGATTATCAACCCTTGAACGAAACTGTAAAGGAGCTTGAACTTAGATTAACTTATCAACCTCTTTCATTGTTTAAGTGGCAAATATATATAGCTCAAACAATCAGAAATACATGGACATCTTCTCTTATGGGTATGTTATTATAATCAGAGTTACGAAGAGAATTTTAGTTATATAACATTGAATTTCATATAGGAGATTCGTTGGACGAAGATGACAATGATCAAGATACTTTGAAGGAAACATTATTGGAAACTAATCCTTATCTGTTGGGTCTGACTATAATTATATCAGTATTACACAGTGGATTCGAATTTTTAGCATTTAAGAATGGTAAGACATCATTTTTCAAAATATGTAATTATGTTAGAATTCATTCTTCTAATATCGTTTTATCCGTTTTTTTTTTTTTTTCCAGATATTCAATTTTGGAACAATCGCAATTCATTGGAGGGTCTATCCGTTCGATCTGTATTTTTCAATGTTTTCCAATCACTTGTTGTTTTATTGTATGTTCTTGACAATGAAACGAATACAGTTGTTCGGATTAGTTGCGCGATAGGTATATGCATAGAAGTATGGAAAATTAATAAGGTCATAGATATTAACGTTAACAGGAATTCAAAAGTATTTGGTATCTTTCCAAAAATAAGTTTTCATGATAAAGGATCATACGTAGAATCTACCACGAAAGAATATGACGAACTTGCATTCAAATATTTATCTTGGGCACTTTATCCTCTTTTAGGAGGATATGCAATTTACTCGTTAATGTATTTAGAACATAAAGGTTGGTATTCTTGGATTCTTAGTATGCTTTATGGATTTTTACTAACATTTGGATTTATTATGATGACTCCACAATTATTTATTAATTATAAACTAAAAAGTGTGGCACATCTTCCATGGCGTATGATGTCTTATAAATTTTTAAACACATTCATTGATGATATTTTTGCATTCGTTATAAAAATGCCAACACTCTATAGAATTGGTTGCTTCCGTGATGATATTGTTTTCTTTATATTTTTGTACCAAAGACAGATATATAAAACTGATCGTACTAGGGTAAATGAATTTGGTTTCTCCGGTGAAATGGAAAATAAAATAACTACCGATAATAAACACCATGCTATCAAAGATTCGCCGAAAACTGAAACAGATAAAAAGAATAAGTAATATACAGTATAGTATAATGTTAGCGTTGAGTGTATTATTCGAACTTTATCTGAAATTAATAAACATATTAGTACCAAAGGATATATCTGCATGCATTAATACGTATCACTGTGAGTTTGATATAAATATGTGTGTAAGTATATATTCTTTTGGTTTATGAGATTTAGCCAAATAAATAAGCCTCGCAAAGGTACCAATACCCTTAAATGGGGGGATGTCGATATCCATTGTACTAGGCATAATGTTAACTGACAAAATTTTAGTACCAACATAAGCAACTATGTATATTCTTTTAGGAAGCTGTTGTCATCGTGTTTTATTTAGAATTTGTTGTCTTTTCATTTCTATTTCAATTCCTTGTAATTGTTATCGTTTTGAATGATATTGAGGAAAAAATATAAAGTTCACTACGACATTTAGAAAATATTTCAAACTGCGATTTTGTTTTTGTTGTATACATATAAATTGAAATCGTCCGAACTATGCGTACATTCATACACATATATTTACCTGAATAATTTGAATGAAAAAATAATATATTTTACGTGCACACATCATGTTAATACAATGACATTTGAGCAGTGTATCTTTTGTACTAAATATTTTAGTTACACACAACACACACACACACACACAAAATATTGCAAAATATTTTTGCAGAAAATAACAAACTTGAAACAAACTGGTTCGCGCAATGCAAATGTTTAAAATTAAATTGTGACCGCTCTTAGATACGATTATAACTATTGTTTTTAATAAATCAATATCTCTAAGTAATGTTTAATTTTATATTGTGAGTAATAATAGTTTACTATTCATTTTTCCTGAAATTAACTTGTGTTCGCTAAAGACAATGACGTTGAATAATTTAATAAAATGTACATAGACATTATGTATAGTTGAAATGTGCAGGTTTATTACGACATCAAAATATTTCAGTAACATAACAACGAGATAAATTTTTAGACAACAAAAATTATCCTTTTTATAATTGTTTATAATATAATTGTAACAAGGCTTCCTGAAAAGCAGTGTTGAGAAAATTTTAATCTGATTATATTCTCCACGATTACTTGTACAAAGTAATTGCATTGCAAAGTGCTATTGCTTTGTAAAAGTAATCATAACAGATACAATCAGATTACATTTGGTCCAATATTATTGTAAAGTATACAATCACGAAATATTAACAAGATGCGATAAAAGAAAACAATGAAAATATATATGTATATTGTATAAAATACTCTATGGATGTAATAGTGTGTAATAGCAGCACACATCATGGAAAGACGTTAATAATTTGCGTGAGAGAGAGAAAAAACGTTGATACATTGAATATATTCGAACTGCGATGTAAAAAATGTACAAGAATATTGGCAGGTATATAAGATTTACAAGAGATGACCCTATATTAAAGAAAGGTTATACTTGTTACTTATAATACAGTATAAAAACTGTCTGTAGGTATACAGCAACGCATTTAACAACAGTGTTTTCTATTTGCAATTTGTTCAAATTATTTTCAATCCTATGATTAACATGTAAATTATTCTTTAAAATGTACCGTCAATAGAAATGCAAAGTAATTGTATAAACTTAAAATTGATCGCAATATTGTTAACGTTTAATTTTTTTACGAAAAGGCACTTTCTCTTTTTGCAGTATTCCAGCAAATTTCAGCAGTATATCGAACGTCATTTATTTACGGATCCTCCTCGCATTTATAGATTTTTATGCATTTAAAATAAAAACATTAAGTAATAATAGCCGAGTTGGGTCAACTTTTAAATTTATAAGCATTATTTTTGTATATATTTTCTTAATATACTACATCATTCGTAAGAAAGCATATTGAAAAATGTGAGCTAATCCAATAGAAAAGTGTAAAACAAAGATATATTACAATATTACGATTTGGATTTCGAATTCAAGCAATGATTTGATAATTGAAATATTATTAAATAATAAAGATTACTGTTCATTATTACGTTCCTTTTTTTATAAATAATAATGGTGCGAAAGTACATTAAACCATCTGTATTGTCCATTTCATTTTAATACAGATTATCTGGTTTCAACACAAGACATTATGCATTTCATATTAACTTTTGATTGAATTGATTTCTTGTAGAAAACATTGCATATGTATTTGAAAAATCTTCAAGTTTCTATAACAAACAGGCAAAACAGCAATACTATATGTAGATATCAATGGCTATTCTTTTTGTACAAATGCACTATGATAGTGATTATGTACTAGATATAAACAATTTAAAGTACAAATTTTTATGTACAGTATTTCCATATTATGTTCAAAAAATACAATTATCTCAAGATGAAACCTATATTCTTTTAATTTGCAATCTTTCCTTATAGTATTCCGTTTAGCGCCATACCAACTGTATTTCTGTTGCTACATAAATAGTTTAATAGACAATTGAAAGTAATTGGTCAAAACAATTGAATGATTAGGAATATTAATCTTATTTCACAATAGCACTGCAAACAGTTTTCATTGAAACGTGAAAAACTATAGGTACGGAAAACGGTTTGAATGTGCATCAGTGTTCTTTGTTATACATATTTGTCTACAGATTGCATGGCACTAAAGGAAACCAAGTACTATATGCACTGACTATATAACATAGTATTTAAATAATTAAATCTTGACGGCTAAATTATCGTAAGTAAAACCTTCGTACTGTATAACAGGAATGGCCAACGACAAGTCGATCACAGCCGACAGGAGACGATTTCAACACGCCCCATTGTTAACTTATCAGTACACAAGACACAAGAAGTTTGAATGTGTTAAATGTGAAAATTTTAGTAGGTAAATATCGTGACACATTTTTAAGAAGAAACGTCGATAATATATATGTATATATGTATATGTATGCAGAAGTTGGCCACCCCTGCTGTAGAAAACTGCAATCCTGAAATGTCGTTATATTTTTAAATATTAAAAGAGCAATTTACACAGCACGTAGATGTACTGTATCTGTCGTTAAATTCACAAATTTGAAGAATAAATTTAAATAATTTATTTCGATTAATCAAATTGCATAGAACAAAATAATAAAAATTCAGTAACACGTTGATAAAACGCCACTTACTTATTTTTCTTTCGGCACAAGATATCCGTTGTGATTCGAGTCACCAGAGCAGCTGTATAAACAAAATATACCGCCTAGCTAAATGTCAAAGTGATTGTCACGCACATATTGTGACTGGATATACATATATATCGTGATTCCAGGAACAAATTCGTGCCTTCATCTTATTAAAACGTTATGAGCAATCCCGAATTGTAACGTTTTATCGAGGAGTTACTGTAACGAGTTATTTCTCTTGCAATAAAAAGTAAAAACAAGGCAGTGTGAGTATAGTGAAGTTTAATAGTAATTAGAAGTAACTAAAAAATACTGTTCTACTTTGTACGTTGCACAGGTTTTATATGCAAGTGTAAGCCTGAGAGGCAGCTTTCTTTTAAAATTATTAAAATTTCTTCAAGTCACTGTACACAAATTTATAAACTTATTCTACTTAGCACAGAATGCGCTACTAAAATGGCAGTACTTTAAGTAACGGATAACCCCGTACTACTTTATAAATGGGCTGTGCTTGACATTATTTAGACATGTTGTAAGATCTTATTGAAAAAAGTCGTTCTACAAAATTTCTGATCGTTTCAAGCCTAAAAGTATTCTGTATTTTCCTATGTAAATGAATTGCTATACTTCTGTTCTTATAATTTGTTCGTACATGTTCTATCATAGATTAGAAACTTGTTTCATTGCTTGTACAATACTCATGATATGCGCTTCATTTAAGTTGCAAGGCCTGCATCTTTAGCTATACTATAGAATACAGTAGACGAATTATTAAGTAACGCTTCTGGGGACTCGTATTCCACAATAAGTCCATTATCCAGTACAATGACCCTATGAAATATTTTTTATTTATTATTAACGAATATTTTAAAAAGTTCTATTATAATTTTTCGAAACATACCTGTCTGAATCGAGAATTGTATTAAGTCTATGAGCTATTGTAAGAACCGTACAATCTTTAAATTCTTGTCTAATTGTTGTTTGTATTAAATCATCTGTTTCTAGATCGACTGATGCTGTTGCTTCGTCGAGAATAAGTACTTTTGTTTTTCGAAGTAATGCTCTTGCTAAACATATCAACTGTCGTTGACCTATGCTCAAATTTTCTCCACCTTCGGTTACTTCGTGTAAAATACCATTTGGCAAATCTGAAGTACAATAAAATGCAGAACATTTAACATGTATTTATTTTTAATATTAATTATTTAAAACCAATCAAATTGTTTTTACTTTTTATAAAATATTTAAGATGCGCGTGTTCCAAAGCTCTCCATATTTCGTCATCAGTGTGACGATTGAAAGGATCCAAGTTAATCCTCAAACTTCCTGAGAATAGTACAGGATCTTGGGGTATGATAGTTAATCTAGATCTTAGATCATGCAGACCCAATTTGGCAATATCAATATCATCGATAAAAATTTGTCCCGCAGCTGCTTCTATTATTCTAAATAAACCCAATGTCAATGAAGACTTTCCAGCACCGGTTCTACCGACAATACCAACTTTCTCCCCCCCTTTAATGGTAAATGTTAATCCATGAAGTACAAGTTCTAGGCCTTCTCTATAACGAACTTTGTAATCTATAAATTCAACGTGTCCCTGCGTAGGCCATTCATTAGGCGGCGTATAATTCGGATTTTTCCACGCTGCTTCTTGAGGAGTTTCTGTATATTCTTTTATTCTTTCTACCGCTACTATATTTGTTTCAACATCAGAAGTCATTCTTACTAGCCAATTTAATGTCTGAGTAACCTAAAGAGATCATTTTTATTATAAAATATTCTACAATCGAATAAACGTAAAGCGTAGTTATTAGATAAGGCTAAATGTTTGCTCTTACTTGTAAGGCATAACTGACAGACAGACCAACTGTACCGGACGCCATAGTATCTCTATTTAATACAGAAAAAAATGCAGCAAAAAAGATAATTAAGTTTCCAACCATTTCCAAACGTACTGCCAGCCACCTTCAATAAAAACATTAATTAGATTTCGTGTAATCAATCATTTGTTTCCTTTATATTAATCTTATACTACTGTTTCTAAGAAAATTTATACCTATTTGCAATTATACTAGGATAATAGCACACTTGATTAAAATCCACTTTACTTTCGGATTCACGAATAAATCGTTCTTGTACACCAAATGCTCTGATCATCTGTGCCCCTAATAAACACATAATTAATATTAACCATGTATCATGGTAGAATCAGATTTAAAAAATTATTCATATTTTTACTAATTTCTCTATACGCATATACATATATTTAAGTTATAAAAATTATTAATGCAGCAGAGGAGAGTTTATTCACATACCAGATACTGACTCACTAAAATGCGAGTATATAGGAGATCTTGAAACGGATTCTAAACGTTTCAGTTGTCGGGAACTTGCAACATATAGTCGTTGAATAAAGTAATAAAGTACACCTATTGGTATTATAACTGCTATAAATATTGGTGTGCTAAAACTTATAACCACTAGAGTGGCTATAACCTGTAATATGAATGCGTTACTTAGAAAAAGGAGAATAGATTTCAAGAATTATTCTTTCGCTATACATGTATAATACAGAAATGAATGAAATATAACCATTTTACAGAACATGAAAAACACAGGACAAAAAAGTAAATTTGTATGTACATAAAAAATACCCATAAGTTCATGTATGCAATCGTAAAATTAATAAAATAGCTGTGTGACAAAAGAATTCAGAAACTAATAATAATCATGCAAATTATAAGATGAAACACCCATGTCTACTTTTCCAAACACCAATATGCAACTGAATGCAAATAATATATTTTAATTTACCCATGATTATTAAATAGTGTCTCAAACAAATGTATACAATATCTATACCAGTACATAATTGTACTATTAAAATATTAATAGTTGCACACTTGCACAATCATTTTCTACCATTTATTACAGAAACACATTTGCCATATTCACCACTTTTAACACACTAAACTGCAATTATAATTTATTGGAACGGACACAATTATACTCAATTATAGCTTCTATAACAACATACTTTATGCACGCTATCCATTTATAATCAACTATACATCATCGTAGAAGAATGTAATTTTAGTGCTCGAAGTTTCACCAAAAAAGCTATAATCGAAGTACAAAAACCATAACAATTTGTTTTTTCTAAGATGTCGTTAAATAAACGAATGCCCATGATGTATTTCAATGAAAATTACATCAGCATAAAACCAATACAAACCCTTTGATGAAATGGAAGAATGCAAAGGTAGATCCAATGAATTATGACTAAAGGAATCACAGGAAGGAAATAATAAGAATCAATTGTCTTAATCTGATTCAGGCATTTCCAAAAATTACCTCAAACAAGCAATAGATGCTATCAGAAATTTGTTGAGGAAGAGATGTATCCAGGACGTCGACGTCTTTAGCAAACCTGGAGATAATACGACCAGTAGGAGTCGTATCAAAGAAGGTCAATGGAGCACGCATCACAGCACGCAGCATCACTATGTGCATCTGGCGAGCAGCCAGCCAACAGCCCAGCTGCGGTGCCAAATCGCAGAAAAAACTCGCCATCGCTACAACATCAGACATGGTTGGCTTTCATTGTAACCACACTAAGAAGAGTTTAGAATTTTTAATATTTGAAGCTGTACCAAAACTTTAGAAATCTAAAACATTCAATAAATGTTTCTCTTTATTTAATAATTTTATATAAATTTATATCTATGACTATAAACTTTTTATAAGATAAAATATTCAACGGTATATTCCATATTATGATGTAATATATGTATAAATTTGGAAATTCTATTCGTTTCTAATACGCATGAACAATTAAAAAGACATATCTTTTTAAAAAATAAATTTATAATACCAAAAACTAAAAATACTGTTTTGTCTCATGTTATGCGAGGGGGTGAAGTTTGCTGTGGAGAGGCATGCCAGGCACACATAATGAAACAACGTATTCAGGATGTTTTCCAACGAATAACCAGTATTAGGATGTGATTCTACAATATGCCAAAATAAGACGGAATTGCATTTTATACATTTTTACTTTGCAATCTACTATAAAGAAATTATCGTAGTCAACAAAAATTTCCAAAAAATATTTTTAAGAAAAAATACAAAGCAGAATTTTTTACTTTTCATAATATCTGCCTCTTCCAAATAAATATTTTGTAACATTTCTTTCTCATAAAGAACAAATGAAATATTTCATTTAATTAAAAAGTTTATAAACGAAACTTAAAAGGAACTGACTTTTACACAAATATAATTGATTAAACTTTTTCTCTATTTTCTCTAATAAAGACAAAATTTAATAACGAATAATGAATAATTCGGACATAAAGACTCAAACGCAATTTCATTAGCCTTAATTTTCGTCTTGTTTTAGCAAACTGAATCACCTCCTAAATTATTATCCATCTGTAGGTAAACACCCTGAATGAGCAAATTAAGCATTCAAAAAGTTTAAGCAGGTAAAGAAGCAAATACATAACATAAATATATTCAAGCACAGGCAACAACATTATCTTCCTAGTTAAAAATTGATCGTATAATTGTGTCCATTACCTTATTGTTTATGATGTTATAGTATTTTACTGTAGTTTTGTACATTACAGATTGCTGGTGATTGTATAAAAGAACTATTAAAGGTGAAATTTGTTTCTCTAAAGTTTTGTTTGACAACTCTCACGAATGTCCATAAATTAAAATAAATTATGATGTAAGAAATGTAATACAATACACGATTTTTATTCTGTGTATTGTTCACAATGTTTAATGATAAATTTTATTAAAAAAAAGTTTGCAAAAATATCAACAGATTTATATTAACTATAATAGCGTTTAAAATACAGTCACTGTACAATCAAATTTTTGTATACCTAAGAAATGATGATCATAAAAGTTGAAGACAAGAATTTTACAGTTTCATTATATTATATTACTATATTAAAAGCTAAAATTTACTGAATTAATGCTTTTTGTCAATTGAATAACTACAAATTAACTATTATAACAATGGTTATTTGGTATGACAACTTTACTGGACGATATACAACATATCTATGTAACACTAATTTATTTTAACATGCAAATTACTTTTTTAATGACTTCAAAAGAATTTGTAATTTTAAAATTTTTAAAATTTTAAAGATTTGAGAAATTGAATTATCGATCATACATATTACCAAAATTATGATTGCAACAAGTAAATGGTTACAATTTTCACTAAACGTTACCCCCTTGCCCCAATTTGATACGTAAATGTAAACTTTAACTTGAAATACTTTTACGAAAATCAGTGTTTATTAAGCGCAATATTTACAACGAGAAAATATCATACCGAAAGGAAACAAGCAATCCAAGAACGCAGTATGGATGGTAGACTATTATCAATGACTTCAGTGTCTGCACCGAGTCGACTAAGAATTCGACCGATTGGAGTTTTGTCAAAGAACATTATTGGGCTGCGGAGGATTTGGTGCAACATTGTCTCGAAAAGATGTATCGAAGCGTATATTGCTCCTTTTGCCAAAATTAATGCCCCTCCAAGCACTGCCAAGCCTATAATGATTGGTGGTAACTTTGATATATCATTAAACCCGACGACATTGATATCACGAATTTCATATACGGTTCTTGTATTTGCATTTTACGTTAATGCAGATGAATTAAGGGAAGACCTAATTCGTTTAATGGCAAATAATCATCTTCACTATTACTCACCATATGTCTAACACCATGTACAAGTTCCTTACTGCAGTCACACATGTATTGAGGTGCATTTATAATTAGGAACAGTATTATTAGTGTGTACATAAATTAAATAGTAAACATGCACTTGGTAATTGTTGTTTTAAATATCTTTCACTTTAAAAAGAAAATTCTCTATACATATAACAAGTCTCAGACTTTCTGACAGAGACATTTTTATATTTTACTATCAATTCGTGTGTGTTTACGCATTGGTAAATGACTAATCAGTTTTTAATTAATACAGTTGCGGAACTACGTAACATAAAAATTAATTTTATTTTACCGAATTAACTTTGAATTCCACATTCCGTAAAACAAAATAACCATTGCTTGATCTTTAGTGATAGGATATTCTCAAAACATTCGACCCGAGTGTGTTTTTATGTCAAATAGAATCAGATACGCGTTCACGTTCACAAAATGTTATTATAATAAACACAATTAAGCTAAGCTTATATTTAAGTCAATGGCATTAAAAATAAATATTTAAAAAGTTATAGATCTATATCCTAACGAAGTATACTATTATAGTATAATTATTACATATATTGCCATAAAGAATGGTTATTTGATTTGATTAGAAATTGTAACATTATTGAAAGTATAAACAGAATGATCTATTTGCATTTATAACTGCTTTGTATTGCATGACCAGTAATTGAGAAATACTTATTAATATAGATACTTAAAAGAAACTCAATGTTCTGGTAATAAGCAGATGTTAAAAAGCTTTACTGTTTGACTACTTCATGCTCAAATATTATATTAGTGTCGGTACAAACTATTTAATTAATTTCTATAATTCTACACTATCAGTTGCAAGAACTTATATACATTTTAGTTGGCAAGTGAACAATATGTATATGCAAGTACATGCGAAATTGAAATTATTTAATTTTGTACGACAAAGTAACCGAAACAGCTGTATTTAAACATATATTACTATAAAGCTTTACTTTGCTTATAACAACACAGCAAACCACACTCGCACTAACATTTTAGAATAAATTTAGTTATCGTGTAATACGGAATTGTAAAAGTAAAAGAAATGTTATTGTTATAAACTTAATGTACACAGTGTTAATAGCAGGACTTATACAAATATATTTTTTACTCATAATGTAAAATTAAATAATAAATTTAGTTGCCCCAAAACTGTGTAATCTGTGAAGGAACATGCTTTTTAGACAACATTGATGTTATCATAAGTGAAATAGTTTAGATAATAACATATTTCATAAGGAAAACCTTACCTTATAGTTCTTTGTCAAATGTTTAATTCTAGTATACTCTTTTTTAGGGGGAAAAATTTCTGACTATTACTGAATACTTAAACATTTTTAAAAACATACCCTGTCCAAGACCAAGTCCACCATATACTCCAAGATATAGATCTTGTTTTGCTCTATCGAATGTATTATTTTTATTATAATCTGTCAAGTTATCATCGGACCATAGACCAAGCCAAGAATTTGAACCAATACTAAATCCTTGGAAAATAGCATTCATTATGATAGTTGATATCGATAAAAACCATCCAATGGATTTGAAGTAATGAGAATACACTTGCCATTTAACCTTATGAACGAAAACAGTATAGAAATATATTATTAAGAATTCTTTAATAAATATGATAAAAAATAACTTACACTTCCAGTCTCACTTTTTTCTACGTCTATTAATTTTTCTGGTAATTTTAGCGATTTCAATTTTGTCTCCTTTTGATTATTACTGTGTAAATAACTTCCAGATTGTTGACTATCTGTAGAATACTGTCTGAAATTTTTGTCAAGCAATCCGATAGATTAGAAATAGCATAAATAAGAAAAGGCACAAGTAGCAAAGAAAACAAAGGATGATAAGAGAATTTTACCGTTTTAAAGAGCCATTTAATGATTTTCTGTCGGGTATAGAACCAGACTCACTGTGACTTTCTGATACTCTTGATTTACCCTTTGCTAATTTCTGTTGCAGTTCGCTTGATCCTATCGTTGATTCCAATTGTTGTTTAATTTCATTTAAATCTGCTTCTGAGCCATCATCAGCATGCACTGTTTTAAATTTATCATAACAGATTTAAAATAATACAACAAATGTAAAAAATGCATTATCACAATATTAGAAAATAGTAATAAAAAATTACATTTTTACATAAAGTTAAAAAGTTCTAAATACATTCAAGTAAATCATGAGCTGTTAGGTTTTAGCATTTTAGTATTAATAATATTTCAATAATACTCTGACTCAAGTTTAACACATGCACTATAAAAAAATTCTACATGCATATCTTTTTTTTATATTAATATCATACTATACTAAGAGGATAGTAGAAAATTGCACTGGAAATGGTTTCATACTATAAGCTGGCTGATAAGTTTTTATAGTAGCAAATTGCAAAAAATACTAACATCCTTGATACTCTAATATCACAAGCCAAATGCAATGTAAACCATTTTCCGGGCAATCACATAAACTGAAGTAGGAAAAGGAATCGTAATTACTTTTTCACTGACTTACGATTTCCAACTTAGATCCATGAAAAATATAATTAAAGATTAATAAAAAGTATGAATAGAGAAGTTGAAGAAATAGAAGAATTGATGTGTACCTTCTTGAAGATGTTGCACTAAAAATTCAGCAAAAGCTCCCCTTTTCTCTAGAAGCTGTTTGTAACTTCCAACTTCTGTTATTTCGCCATCTTTAAGTACAATGATATTATCGACCTCTGGTAAGTAGGTAATGCCATGCGTAACAAGTATTCTTGTTTTCTTCTTAAGCAGACCACTACTGCCAATCACATTTTCAAATATGTGTTTTCCGACATGTGAGTCTACAGCACTCAACGGATCATCCAAGAAATAAACATCGGAATCATTGTACACTGCTCTTGCTAATGCTACTCTTTGCTTTTGTCCACCCGATAAATTTATACCCTTTTCTCCAATTTCAGTTTGATCACCTGCAGGCAATATTTTTAAATCTGGACACAATGCACATGCATCAATTATACGATTATACGAGCTTTTATGCAATGGTTTTCCAAATAAAACATTATCTTGCAATGATGCATTTTGTATCCATGCTTGTTGAGATACGTATGCAATCGAGCCCTGTTACACACAAAAAAAGGATTCCCATATTAAATAATACACTTTCGTGTCGTACGAATCAATGGAAATATATTTACTTTTGTATTAACTCTGCCACTTATTCTGTCCATCTCTCCAAGAAATGCAGCTATAAGAGAACTTTTACCTGATCCCACTGTACCAACAACAGCTACCAACTGACCCTGTTCTACTTGTATATTGATATTTTTTAATGTTGGTTTTTCAACATTTTCCATATCCCATGTAAAAGTGCCATTCTCGATTAATAGTTCGTGTGCTATATCGTATCAATAGAGTAAATTTATCGTATAATATACCAGTAGTATAACACAATAAGCTTATAAGGAATGTTTGCAAAATATCTCATCCTTTCTTTCGATTTTGATAAAACTTGAAGAGACGACAACGAACTATGTTTATTTTGCATACTGACAATTAAAAACATACAATGAATAATCACAGAAATCTCTTTTCCACGATAGAGATGATAGTTACGTTTTAAAACACGTATCGCGAACGACAATTTACAAAGTGACTTTTTAATTTTTTTGTTACCGATGTATACAGCTTATTATTTCCCTTTAACACTCGGACGGTGGACCGTCGAGCGACTCCACAGACGGCGACACGGCGTCTGTTCGGACCCCAACGTAACCTCACATAAAATTATATGTAATTGATTATTTTTACTGACTTCTATTGTCCATTAGAGTTTCGTAGCATTTTTCAATATGATATTCGTCACTTTAATAATCTTTTGGTTCTGGGTTAACATCACTATGCGTCGAACACTTTTTTTTCTCGTTATCGGTCTAATATAAACACAAGACACGGCGTGTCTAGACTTATCTGGCGCCACCGTCCGGCTGTTAAAGAACCATACAGCAGAAATTGTTTAAAAGACTCCTTCGTATATCGAATACGAACAAACTATAAAATACCATCAAAAGACAAACTTTGGACGGTAATTTTATTCCTTCAATTTGAGTCACTGTCGTTTAAAAATATATACGTACCCCTCTTATTTTTAGCCATTTTACAAACTTGCAAAGTTTTATCAAAGTTGAGGAAAGACATTTCACGGATATTCGTTGTTAGTTACATAGAAGACTTACGCTCGGATGGATCGTGTTGAACATTATTAGGGTCCAATTCTTCTGTATTCATGAATTTGTTAATACGTTTTACGGACACGTAAGCCTAGGTATTATATATATATTTCATTATTAAATAAATAATTGTATGCATCGTGACTGAACTTCACAGATATTTTCATTTACCTGAACCATGTTACCAATCATCATAGGTAATATAGAAAGAGGAAACCTTAAGATATTAAAAAGACTGAGTGAAACAAAAGCAATTTTGCTATCTAAACGATTGTTTTCATCTATAAGTACATATGTTGCAAAGGATACTAAGGATACCTAAAAATTCATAGAAAAAATAAAAAAAATAACATGTCATTCTTGTATTTAACAGTGTAATTCTGTTTAACAGAAACTTACTAAAAAGGGAGCAAAAGACCAGATAAAACTTGTTCCAGAATTAAGATATGCAGCTTCCTTTAATACTTTGATTTCTTTCATACGTATCTTAAGTATTTGCTCTTCAAACGAAGGTTCCCATGCATATAACTTTAATACTTTTATACCATTGAGAACTTCATTCATTAACTTCACTCTTTCATCTTTGTGCTTCATTTGTCTGATTTGCAATGTTTTCACTCTATTTGTGATCAATACGTTTATTGGGATAAGAATAAGTAGAACGGCTAAACCAGCAAGTGCAGCTGGTCCTAATATTTCCCACAAAAAGTATAAAGCTAACATTATTTGCAGCGGTGCAGACCAAATCATATTTATGTACGCTGTTAAATCCATAAATCTCTGCGCATCCACAGACATTAAATTCACTATTTCACCAAGTGTTGATTCCTTTCTGGCAGAATTAGACATTCTTAATGCCTTTCGATAAATTGCAGCTATTAATGCAGTACGTATTCGCAATCCAACTAAGAACATGCGATGAAAGTATTGTGATAAAATTAATGTTTGAAATATAGCTGTAACCAGGAGTAAAACTGCATACAAATAGCCTTTCCAGATTGTTTCATGCCCCTCGATAAATTGAATGAGTAGTCTAAATTAAAAACAGTATACTTAAAACAAAATACATTTACAAAGTGGAAAAGTCGATAACAAAATAAATTAAGCTACTTACTTCAATATTTGTGGACTAACAAAAGCCATAATATCTTGCACAAATTTAAGTAGAGCTCCAAATAGAAAAGTAGCACCAAAAGCTTTACAAAGAGGTGGTAAAACCGACGATACCTTCTTTCTACGTCCGCTATTAAAATCTACTTGACCCGATGACTTTCTAAACGATGCCTTAGTGCTTTGTACACTGAAAAAGGAATAAAAGTTACACTTATATTTAAATATAATATTTATTTACAAACTCGTTATGCATATTAAACTTACCTAAAACAAGTCCAAAATACTCTTGTTAGCAAAAATAGATTTATATTTAATTATTAATGTAATTTTCTATGTAATTTCTTTAATTTATTATAATTGTTTTCTTATTATCTAATATTAAATACAAATGTCACACTTGGAAGAAGAAATGACGAAGGTAAGGTGGAAGAAGACGGTAAGGGAAGGGGGTAAGGTACAGTGTATCAAAATATTCATACCCATTAATCTCACATTGTCTTTCCTCAACCTTCCATTAAGATCTTAAAACTATTGTAACCAATCTTACCTTTTTTAGTATCATTCGATATTGAATTTAGATATTGCGAAAATGTCTGTTTTTCGGAAAACGAAAAAATGTACATTGTGTGGTGGTGATGGTGATGGTGAGGGGAGTAAAAAAAGAATGTGCCGGTGCACGATTAGTAATTAAATATGAGAATATAGTAGAAGTAAATGTAAAGGAAGATGGAGATCTGTGCAACTTTAAGAGAAACAATAAATAAGTACAATACATAAATATCACACTCACTTGTTACTGTTTTGTGCATTTTTATTCCAATATTTATCAAATCTTGGTACGATTTCACTAGCTGTATCCTCTGCATTCATAGACCATAAATCTGTAGCTTCCAAAGGTTTTTTGAAGCCTTGCCATGCCATTGGATCAAACCAACTAAACAAAATTTTTGCAGGAAAGGAAGATTTTTGCTCTGGACATGGTCTTTCTACCTATTGATTTTAATGTGTAACATTAAACTAAAATATTTAATTTAATCTATAATATATATACGTAAATAATTTATTAATTAAATTACCCTTGGATATTCAGAATATTTTGGTTCTGCATCAACCAAAAAGTTCAACAAGAACAGAAGTACCACTATTGGGTAATATATCATGTACGATACAAAGGAATAGGTTACTTCTCCCTAAAAAAAATAGTATGTGGTATAAATTATATATCATACAACATAATCTACTCGATAGCATACAAAAATCTTTGTGTTTTAACAATTATATTGCTATTGAACAAAAAAATAAAATAGTTTGTAACTTGAATTAAATTTGTATTAGCACTTTATTTGCAAGTCACGAAACTTTTCGTGTTTCTTATTTTTATGGCAGTTACCAAAAGTGTACAAGAATTCGAGAATATCGAGTCGGGTCAGGACAAAAATTTTTCTCTGGATGAACTCCCGGAAATTTGGGATTCCTAAGAGTGTTCAATAATAATTTCATTCAGACGGTTGAGGAATGTGTTTACAGAAAGGGCAGTTAAAGTGTCCAATCTACAATTAACATACCCCATTGATATATTGCCTTAGTAAACTTCTGTATTGAACAACTCCACACAGTGCAAGAAGAAACCAAAATAAAAACAATAGTCCAGAGGTTTGCATTCCACATTTTCTATTATATACTACTAATGTAAATACTAGAATCTGCAAAAAAAGATAATAGAAATCATGTTACTGTAAAAATTTAATCTTCCATAGCTCTTTAAAGATGTTAAAAGTAATTCTTACAAGAGAAATTATTTTCACTAACGGTGTACAATAATCAACACTATAAACAAACCGAGAAGTACTTCTATGTATAGCCTCTCCTAAATCAATGATACTAAGTACAATTAATGCTGCTATAAACACTTGTTTAGAAACATATAACCATGTATATGGAATATTCTTTCTTTTACTGTTTATAAGATAATAAACTTCTATCGCAGAGAAAAGCCATAAAAATGAGCATGGTACCCATAGTAATATAGTTTTTTGAAAACATTCTGGGATATCTGGATCGTGTGTATTCCATACTTTGTCATTATCCTAAAATAAAAAAATATATGTATACAATACTTGTTTTTTAACTGAAAGTACCAATTCTATTGTAAAAGTGGTTAAATTTTAACAGCAGTTACATGTCAATGTTACCTTGTATTCATTGCAATTATTTCTATTTATCTTATGTTTCTACTACATTAAACAATAGATGTATCTATGTATGTTTAAAATATGTCAAATATGTAAATAAAATATCCAAAATATATATGAAGATATATTACCACATGCAGTCCAGTTATTTATATGTATTTCACTACCCACAACAGAAAATAGTATTTATGTCATCATTTTATTCTTTCTATCTCATATTAAGAAAATGTTCAATTTTATTAATTATAAATATATGTGAATATTATCATTTTTTGAAAGATATGTATCCCGTAGTTACGGAAATCTTATTACTACGTCACTTGTACACGAAGAACCTACACTGGTGTATATGATAATATGTGTCGTCATGCCTAGCCATCTTCTCGTAAACGCACGGTATTAAGCTGGAGATCAGCAATTTCATTTTTGACCAAAATCCTTTTCCTTTAGCTACACTAAACCACCAACATTTCTTACACAATGTGTCTTGTATAATTGTATGCGTGCGTGCGTGCGTGCGTGCGTGTGTGTGCGTGTGCGTGTATGCGACTGCATACTCAATTACTCACCCAAAATTTGGTACCACAAAATTGATCCATAGTTTGATTCTGCCTAATGATACATTTACTTTTTCATTAGTTTTCTTATTCAGTTATATTTCGATTATACAGTTTATCGTATTTCTTCATAAGTTTTCTGAGACACTTGATAAGATGTTATACATTAACTAATAGATATCTCCAATTTCGAGTAAAGGTTGTATCTGGCCACAAGACAGTCGTCCGTAGAAATGCACAATTATACGATATATTGGCATATGCCCAACATCGATGATAGTTCACCGTCCACTCGCTTTCTCAAGTAAACGCAAACTGTGCCTGATTCAGTCCGATTCACACTATATAGCATTGTCGGTTTATTTCCCCAATCGAGATTGTACATTGCTGTATATTGCGTCACATTATCTTCTCTGCATGCGCACAGTTTTAAAATAACGGTTCATCTTTTGAAAACAAATCTAATTTTTCATACGAATTACGGCAAATTTCACACGAGATAGTAGAACTTTCGAAAATTTATAGACAATACACATTTGAAAAAGAACATTGTTAATAAAGTAATATGTTAGTTTAATGTGATTTAACTTTATGCTATTCATGGCGTACTTACGTACTGTACTGGTACAAAGTTTACTTTTCTTATTTACTAGAATACAATTCAGGCATTTTTTATCGTCAGCATTTGTTTCATGCAACATATTAAATATACATACGTACATTCTTTTTATGAAATTCAAAAAATATTTGTACAAAAGAACAAGAAGAAGAGGTTATAATAAAAAAATATAGTAAACTTTGTTGTTTACAATTTCTTCATATAGAAAATGTAATATTAAATGTATGTAATATGAAATTATAACAAAAGTTTAATACTTGAAATATAATTATTTTGTTATAAATAATTAAATATTATCGAAGGCTGTTTTGAGACGTTTAACTGTATTTGTTGAGTTGATGCTCGACAATGCATAACCTTGAATTTTTTTACTCAAGGCAAAAGAGATACAAGCACATAGTACGTACATACATACATTGTCTTTCCGCATAAATTGCATTGAGAGTATTACAATCAGATAACGTACATAATGACGCTGCTGAATGTTGATACTGATAAAAATAACGATAATACAATCATTGCATTAATGTATGTAACTTATATTAATTGTATATAATTTAATTTTAAAAAGTTGTATCTTTGTTTTTCAATCATTGCCTATAAAATTATAGAAATATTCATTCGATTCTTTAATCCTTATATTACTATTCACCGTGAATTAATTATGTGTTTATTTTACAGTAAATCTGTATCTGTTACTATCTGTTTTTATTTGAATTTATCAGACTTGTTTAAACAACAAAACGGTGCTTAATACAAAAATTATTTATCTTAACCAAGTGTTTGCTATTGTTACATTACATATGTATACATATACTTTTTCTTATATTATTAAATTTTAAATTAGGTATTTTTCATTTCTCTTGTCTTTTATAGATAGACACTTTTTTACATTCGGATAATAAAGATAAATTATTTATAAGCATAGTTTGCTTAATTTCCATTGATTGTGGAGACAAGATCTTGAAACACATTGGGAGGAATCGTGCTTCGAATCAATTTGACCTCTATTTCAATTGTCGAAAGAAATGTTATGTGAATATATCACTAGAGATGAAGGATAGATATAGAGAAGCATGATGTAATGACACAATTACATTGTATGTTTCTTGGTTCAGCCATTTTCTTATCTAGATAGTACTACTAACAAGTACAAATTCATTCCCTTGTGATTATTGCATTTGATCGATGATATCATTAAAAACGTACTTATTATCTTCTTCGGTAAATATATCGAAACACAAACAAAATTCGTACACAAGGCAATTCTTTTTATATTAAATATAAATAAAAATTCTTGTTCATTTATATTTCTATTAATATAAATATATGTATATAGTATGTACATGTGCGTAAAACGTGTCTAGAAATAAATTTATTTTTTCACATATTAATGAAATATACAATCAGCAATATGTAATTACAAATTTGTTTACTTTTTATTACAATATATATATATATATATATATATGTATATATTAATAATCATTCAGATTTATATTCTAGAAATATAGAATCTGGAAATATTAAGTGTAATACTATGTTGTTAAATACATATTAATTAACCAGAAATTGAGCTTTATTGTAGTATGATTTAATGAAAATTGCAATCAATTTATATTAATTTTATTAAACTTGATAAGTTTGAGTGCTACTAAATAAAAGTGTTAATAATTCTGGATCGGTTAAATTTTTCCTATACTTTTGTACAATTTCTTGAATTTTTAAGCGCCTACGTACATGTGGCGGATGATAACTGTAACATATCAGAAATATTAAATATACAGATCTTATTAAAATGTAACTTTAATTCTACGTACCTATCATTGTCAAGTCTTTTTCTACGTCCCATATTTAATGCTGTTTGCCTAACAAGTGTTCCTAATACTCTTCTAGACACAACCATACCATCGATTAAAGGAGTAGCTAAATTGATTCTAGAAACTGGACCTTGTAATCTGACTCTCATTAATCCACTACCAAGAGCTTGAAGAAAAATTACTTGTACATCCGATGGTTGTATCGCTCTGGATTGTTCAAGGCCAGTATAAGTGCAAGGGAGAAGATCACCTGCTCTCCAAAAAGAAATCGTATAATTTTCATTATTTAATAAAAATAAACAGTAAATATATTTATAAGGTAGAAGTACCAATTGGAAATTGAGCATAATCTTCTAAACTTTCTAGCCAAACGACCATAATTTTAATATCAGTTTGTACAGGTAAAACTTGTTTAACTGTCCTTTTTGGTTTCACTGGGTCTGTACTAGAAGTACTAGAAGGACTAGATCCTGTTAAACTTGGGGGTTGCTTTTCTAAGTCGAGTGACATTGCTCGTGAGTTTTGTATTGTACTTTGTCCTGTTCCATAATTTCGAGAATTAGTATGTTCACTGATACTTCTTTCAAACCAGACTACAATTATTTATTATACATATAGTTAACATATATAATATTAAGTTATACCTTTTTATGTATTATTTACTCTTTTTTCAAAGATCATACCTTGATTAACGCTAATATCACTAGTATAACTTGCTTCTTCTAACGAGTCTGAATTTAAGATATTGTACGATTGAGTTGGTACAACAAAAGCAATTTCTGAGCTAACGTCTGCCCAATAAAGTACATGGGTATCCCCATTATAAAGAGATCCCCCGTGATCGTTATGAGTTGGCGGTGGCACATTCAGATGCGATGTCACTCTCCACGAGGTAGAAACATGACCTGTCCAACCTGCATGCACCGATATAGAGACTGACCATCCAAGAGAATTTAAAAACTCCAAGAAATTTGGCGATACATTTGTTTCGTGTAACTATGAATATAAATTTGTTTATATAAATATAAACGCGATACGTGAAAACGTTCAATTAAGCGTTCTAAAATTCTTACCACATTAGATAATATTTCTGTTGGAGCTTTTTGACCAGCTTTCACATAAAAAATATATACAGTATCACACGTTCTTGGACTAATGTTATCTAATGTTTCTAAATCTAAACAAAATCCTGGAATGGTTGGATCTATAGCAATAAGGCCACTGTTTCTAGATTCATCGTTTTGTTTAGGTTCCATATTCAAAAAACCAAAATGACTCAAAAAAAGACGTGCAGTTTGAAATTCATGACAAATTTGAGGTGGTACGCATTCCTCTGTTTTTTCTTCCGAGATTTTATCGTTTCCATTACATTTTGACTCGATATTCATTTGACGTTCTAATAACTGTGATAAAATTTGATGTTCGTTTCTAACTTCATTGTTATCATTCATGACTGCTTCAAGACTTGGTATGGATTCATCTCTGTCGAAAGAATTTGATCAGTTTGATCAAAATTAATTCTAAAATATTTCAAAAAATATGAAACAATATTATGATAAAGTTTAACATACACTTTACAATGAGGAATTCGATCAACATTATCAGGAAAGAATCTAGGTTTATAATCTGTTCGTGGTGCTGCTTCTGCTAATGGCAGCGGTCGACCAGGATTTGTATTTACGCTTCTAATACTGGATCTGTGCCTTGGTAAATGTCGAAGTTGCATTGTCCATGCATGCCTACCAAATGGACCACGTATTAATACAGTTACAGTAGGCTGTGGATCTTGATCATTCCCAAGAGGTTCTTCTAATAAAGCTAATATAGTAGCATTTTCAGCAACGAAATATCGAAATCTTTCAACTGCAGCTTGACGTGGTACACAACCACCGGTCCAACTGTTGCAATGTCGTAAAAGTGATACTTCATCTAATAAAGATGATAATGATTGCGCTCCACATGCACTTGGAAAATACCCAACCTAAATAATAGAGAAATTTATTTAAACAGTTTTTCAAAAATATTTTTCTAAACTCTGAAATTATAACAGCTTCGATGTACGTACCTGTTCCAGAATAACTGTAAGAAGAGCATCAGCAGCATCTCTGACGCGCATAGATGCTGGTTTTAGTTCTTTCTCATCTTTCATCTTAATAGGTTCACCAGGTTTCCCTACACTTTTTGTTCCTGATACTCCAAGTTCAACTACTTCCAAAACTGTTGTTAGACAATCTTTATCCTGAAAAAATAATTGCGCGTACCAATTTGTTACCAATTTATTTCTTCATAATAAAATACTAACTTGCAGTAATTGCGGATGAGCAGTTAACCAAGTTGTCAAACAACTAAAAGCAGCAACAATAGAGGAATGAAGATCTTTTGAATGTGCTGGCGGTGGACGCCAACATTGATACGCAATGTAATCGCAAAGCCATTTTACAGCACGTTTACATTCCAAAGCATCTGTGAAATTTAATGAAAATTTCGACTGCGTAGTTACGCTATAATTAAATTATAGTTTATAAAATAAAATACAATTTAACCTGTAAGTTTCCTTGCTGCGTGTAGGGTGTCAAACATTGTTCTAACTTAGTATGCTTCAGAAATTTTAGAAATACGTTTTGACGACTAAATAGTATATATTTTACCTGTTTCACGAATGCGTGTTCTTGCTAATCCAGATAATATTTCAAGAGCCGCCAGAGAAATATTTAGGTCTGTTTTCCAAGATGATATTAATCTGTGGCAAACTAAATATGTTGCTCGCACGAAAAGAGCATGAGCTGAATCTGTAACATTTACCATATATTTATTAGTCGTTAAAATCATACATATTGAACTAATTTTTTAAAGCACCACTGTACGCGTACATTAGAAGTCTTTCAAAATGCAAGCCTGTGTATGATATTGTCCAAAAAGAACGAGAAATGTAAGAAAAATAATATGATATTTCTCAATATTTCGTATACGTGCAATAATCGAAGGCAAAACTAATATAAAGAATACTCGTATTTACCGAATACAATACATTCCTCTTGAAGAGTTGTAATATCTGAGGCTTCGCCGAGCGATCGTTGATCACTGGATATACTTATTTGACTGGCTGAATCGCTGGTGACTATCAAGCGATGATGAGACGGTACAATGGCGAATGCACAACAAAACACAACTCATAATAATAAAAACGAATAACATCTCACACAAGCACGCATAAAGCAAATACAATAAAAAGTGATATTAAGCATTATGACCTTACATTGCATAATTATGCTGAATTACTAAAATTTCCGTTTACAAGCAACTGGTAAGTGTTAATGAGTTGCCATTTCAAAACAGTGGAGCATTACTCCAGGCTACTATTATTGGAACGATGCTATTTACAATTACTTTTCAAAATTTAAATACAAAGGATAATTAATCTCAGAGAATTCAAAACAGTGCATTCAATATTTATATGTATATGTACAAACTAGTATCATTTAAATTACAAAGTATGACAAACCTGATGATAATAAATTTACTGTAGAATCATGTGCTACAGTGTCAGGTTGTGTGACTTGTTCAACTTCTTCTGCCGCCGCAGAATCTTGTACGCTTAATAAAAGAGCTCCTAAAAAAAATCACAACAAATTATAAAAGTTCTACTATGTTTAATTTCTGACTTACCTAATAACATATGAGTATTCTGAGAATCAGTTTCAACTTGTAACGCATTGATAAGCAAATTCATAAGTCTTGATTTTAATTGTGCAAATGTTACGTGACATTTTTCTGTAATCATCGGACTTAGAAATGTTGGTAATTCCTTGATAGCAAGATTCTATAAAAATAAAAATGTTACCGATTATGTGAATTTACTTTATGTATTTCAAATATTATCAATCGAATACATATTTATGCATATTAATTACTTGGAAGTGAAGAGGTAATGCCAGCATTGATATTAATAGATGTATGGAGGCTCTTCGTAAATCTGGTTTCGATACTATATTAGATTTAAGTTTCAAATCTTTTTCTGGTAATACTGTCTCTAAAGCTGATATCACTGCAGGTACTAATATCTGAACACCGTTTAAATCTAAGCGAAATAAATCCGCAGAATTCAAAAGTATACTTGCTAACGTTTCGCCACATTCTCGAGACTGTAAGCGATGATAAAAATACGGTATTATGTACATTTTCACTAGTACTATATTTGTAAGACTTGAACGAATAAGTTATTACTTCGTCAACTTTAAGACCATGATGCATTGCTTGATAAAACCTGGCTAGATAAACAGGTAAAATTTCTTCACCGGTTTTTTTAGCACAAAATATCCTGCATAGCGCACCTAAGGCTTCTGCCCTTCCAGATTCATAACGATCTATACAAAGCGTTGGTGGAACATCGTTAATGCTTTCTTGTAATGAACTAGGGCCCTCAACGAGTACAGAAGATGGACGTTTTGTCGCACCCGATGGTTCTGTTTATAAATGAAATTAATAACTTTTAATTTTACTTAATGCTACATCAAGTAATATTTACGTGGTAGACTTTGTGACCATCCATCAGTGCCTATAAATGCAGCTTCAAATAACCACTCTCCAAAAAGATGCAATATACTGTTGCACTTTGGACGTCCTGGAGCTAAAGGAGGCCTAATATCTTGAACTAGAGAAGCCATAGCTATAATAATAACAATTTTATAATAGATTAAGCCTGCTTACTTTGGAAAATAAATGTTATTTGATAAAGTCTCACATGTTGTACTCGAGGCAGATGAAGGTCCTGAATTAGATATTAACATGGGCGATGTACTCGAAACACGACTTGTTGTTAAACCAATTAAGGAAGCTTTTGGAATTCCTATAATAGAAATCAATAATATAAAACATAATGTGTAAAATATCGTTCTAACGTGGTAGTTTTCAAAATATAATACTTCTTTAGGACAAGGAAGTTTAGAAGCCTAAAAAAGTACTCGTTAAAGATATGTACAATTGAAGGAATATAATCGGAAACACACAGAAAGAGAAGTGCTGAATACCCTTAGTTACTGCAGAAGGTGTTACACTGAAACTTTTGGCAAGTCTGCGTTGTGTCGGAGGTGTAGGAGAAGGCTGTGTCGAATCCTTCCCACTTGATTTGTCCCACCCTATACCCCCACTTCCAATGCTAGCAGATCCAGAGCCGATGGTGGATACACAACATTCTTCCCAGCAACATGCCTGTGAAACTCCTAAAACATTTGTGACTGCGTGCAACCATCACCAATAAAGCAAGCTGAGGGGTACATGTGCTACTTTTAAAAGTGAAAAAAGTATGAAAATAGGTTGTCCTTATTTATATAGTAATGTATATTTCGAGGATATAAAGAATACATATAGGGTTACTTATACTTTCGTACTACAAAATTGTGTATAATTTAATTTACTTACCAAGAAAAGCATCAACTTGTCCTGCTATACCTTTTATTGCCTTTAAAAATATTTGCGGTAAACTTTGTAAACATGGGTGTTGACAAGGATCTATAACATTTGGGCTAGCAATGGCATACTGCAAAAATGCTTGTGTCTGTGAAACAACAGCAGGCCTACATAAGTCAACTGGATCACCTATCGTTCGCAAAAGTCTGTACCATGCTTGTGCCACAGCTTCGTCCGACATTGAAGGTGGTACAAGCTGAGAATCTTCTTCACCTAAATGTATTATTATACATATATTACAAATTGTTAACACGTAAAAGCAATATGAACAATCAATGAAAAACTATTAACTTATTTTTAATTCTGGAAACATTGGACCATACATAATTTGTAAAAGTCTTGCTGTAAGTGCAAGACAGACACGATTCCATTGCTCTACCAATGCTAATCTGTGTCGCCATCGAAGACAAGATTCCCGTAAAGTACGCCATAACGGTGGAGAAGGAAAGTTACGTTCACATGCTACTAACCACACCTAAACGGTATTTCTGTGTAACTATTAGTCCAAAAAAATATTTAACAATTAATAATATATTTTTATATGAACGTAATACCTCTAACAATACGCCTAAAACTCTTTCGCATAATTGTTCTCCAGCATCTTCCCTTGTTGCCGGGGGTGCTAAAAGTGCATCATTAATTCCAACGAGAAATAATAATAAGCTTTCCCAAGTTTCTCTTTCTAAAGTTGCAGGACCCCTTGCAATTTGTTGTAATGTTCTAAGTACTCTATGACACAAAACAGCTTGTCGATTAATTGTATCCGTTCCTATAAATAATATTAAATATTTCATAGTTGTCATTTATTTATCATTTATGCTGAAAAATATGATGCTTCGTGTAAAAAAAATTTGCTTTCTATAATTACAAATTACCTAAATCCTGATATAAAAATGGCCAGACTATGAAAGAGAAGATATAATTATAAGTTGTTAGATGTAAATATTTGTTACGTAATAACTATTGTTATAGATTAAGATAACAATAAGTATAGGATAAATGAAAATGGCTAAGAAATGTAATCCAAAAGGAAACCAATAAAATTATGTATAAAGTTATATCATGTAAATGGTTTATATTATGCATGAAACGAAGAAATAACAAATAAAAGATAAAAGCTATATACTTTACCTTCTCCTTTTCGTGGAACAAATAAATTATGAAAATGGCTTATTATTTTTCTGGCATAAAAATTAGGATCGTCTACAATCGGTCTGGGTACACAAATTTTTGGCGTAGAATATAATGCAGATAACCACTCGCAATACACGTTAACACAATCCCTAACGGTATCATGTTCGGCCAATGGTAATGATAATCCAAAACATATTACTTCCATACACCATTGCACTTCTTTATCGGTACACAATGGACTAGGCTCAGCGGCTTGTGTGATGCCAAGATTTGTAGCAAGTTGACGTACAATAGACAAGGCAACTTCTTTTCCTGCCCCGGGCGAAAATTTTTCGAGAACACTTTGGCTCTCCTCCGATCCTTGTTGAACTAGAACACTTAGAGAAGCCCATTCGGAATACATTCCTCCTTGGGAATCCTGAAAATTAAAATTTTTATATGCATAAACATTTACTAGCATTGATACGAAGATAAAAAAATGTAAAATAGTACACAATGATAGATAACCTTAAGATTAACTCTATTAAATACGCCTAAATTCATAGATTACTATACACTTTGACGCCCTATAACCAAGAATTGGCAAAGAGAAAGTGAAATTTTATACGAATCTCTTTAACTTTAATTATGAAACACAGTGTTTCATTTTATATGATATACGTAAAAATAGCATATAAATGAAGTGAAAAATTGTACGTAATCTTTTTAAAAAATCACATTGTAAAGTATATACACATATACGAAATTTGACAGAAGTGAATATTATTTGACAGGTAGCACCACCATATAGTATGTACGATTACATGATTTCTATTGGCTACCTACAATTATATTCATTAGATTAGTATCAACTCTTCCACTTTTTCCTATGCAAATATCCCTACATAAATATTATCTGAACTATTTAAACGATTCGTAGAATTATAAAAATATGTAATTATGTTATTAAACAGTTTATTCTTCAAAATTATATTAAAATCATAAACTATAAATACGTCTGATAGTAATTTGTATAAATTTTATTTTGCGATAATTAACATTTATAGGTAAAAATTATTCATGAAAATATTTTAACAGTTATAACAGTGTTACGTGTTTCTCGAAATGAATTATAAATATTTCTAGATATAAACAGTCTGATATTTATAAAACGGAAAAATTAACAGGCTAGAAATCTAGGCAAAAGATAAGTAATTTATTTATTTTATTATATAAAATAGATCTTGATTGGATGAGTTTTCTATCGGTAAGGTAGTTAGAAGGTAGGAAACTTAACTCTTTGGCTCTACCTACTGGGTAGGAGGACAAGTATTACAATCTTGTGTATTGTATTACTAGTTTTTTTGTGTATGGTATGTATCTAAATCTTGAAACGAAAAACATCGACAGATGGCTCAAGATCATGTTATGACTAATATTTTTAGTTGTACTTATGCAGATATATAAGAATTATAATACTTAAGAATAAGTGTGAATACAGAATTGAAGATAATGAGTATAAGGACAATGTTTTCGAATATGAATTGCATTTGAAGTTGCAGTTTCGTAAATTTGTGCATCGGGGTAAATAGCGAATGAAACATGGCGTTTGTTTCTTTCATATGTTCCGAAGATATTACTTTTTGATTTTCTTTTACGGATTTTCAATTATCGTCGAGAACAGCGTTCCGATGCATTGAAGCTTTTTTCCTTTTATAACACTTTATCACAAGCGTGCAAACAGTCAATACTCATTTCCAATTTACTTCATGAGTTTTGAAAAATGAAGAAAGCTATGCTTATTTGTGTCTTTTGAGATGTGGGACATTTTTGAAATATTGAAGAATACAACATGACGTCCCGCAGTTACACAAAATCTTACAGCCGTAAGGTCAGCAGTGTGACGCCTGGGAGTATTCAATTTGATAAGCTTTTTAGAGAAAATAGCAATCGTCCTTCTGCTGCTAAATCGGCAGGCACTGTTGGAAAATGGGGTATAACATCGTTCACGTCTATCAGGAGTACGAATATCAATGGTACGCATATTTTTTATCAATGGAAATTTTATACTTTGTTGTATCGTATAAGATATACCCATACATATGCATATGTATATACATGAATTTTTAATTAACAAATATTAAACAATCGTGCATTCAATATTTAACGATAAAATCTTATTATTAGTGTGAATATTTTTAATTTATTACGTATATTGTACTTAAGAGATTCTGCTTTTAGAAGTATTTCTCTCAAGGTATAGAGCTATTTTGCATACATTGTTGAAAAAGAATTTTTAGTTTATTAACAAGCGACAACTTCTGTAACAATTTAATAAAAGAACTTGGTCCGATTGTTACTTTTTTTTTTTTTTTTTTTAAAGTCTATATTATATTTTGTTATGTTACAATAAATCATAATAACGTTATTCCGTTTATAGGAAGAAGAGATGATATTCATAACACATTTGGTGCAAAAAGAATAAAACTTGATTACGGAAATCAGAATGCTCGTGTAAATTCTGGAAAAGATCCATTTTCATTTGAAACTGATCCTGACAATAAATCAGATGTTGCGACTCCGGTCGTTAAGCCTAAGAAATTTTTTAAAAGTAGAAACGTACCCCCTGCAGTAGAAGAATCTCGTCAGGATGTGGCAATATATAGACAAGTACCTGATTCGCATTATGGTAGAGCACGTGCTCAAAAAAACGCCCCACAACCACCACCAAAACAATCTTTACCAAAAGTATCAAGTGTTTCAGCTAAAAAAGTAGTAGAAGCTATAGATGGAACAACAGACGATGCTCCCATTAGAGAAGAAGCAAAACCTCCTATTGTATTAAGAATATGTAAAGGTACGGCACAGTTAGTTTGTGGAAATGTGCAAAACAGCCAAGATCCCGAACCTGAAACATATAGAATTTCAACACCACTTATTAGCCCTACAAAAGTAGATATCGAGCGTAAGAATTTCAGTACAGATCCGTCAAAACCTGATCAGAAAACAATTCGTTCCCACCAACCTATTATTTCTACTGTGTCAATACCTTTAGAAAATTCAGAAATGAGAAGAACTACTCGCAGTCGAGCAAAAAATCTGCATTTAGATTTACCAACATCTTCTGTTGTATCTGCAACGCCAATAACACCTAATTCGCATGGTTCTGGTCTTTCTTTAACCCTTAGAAAATCTGTTACTGACTCTAATAACACATTAATATCCCATTATGATATTGTTAAGACTGATTGTGGTTCGACGTATACCTGCAAGCCAGCAATTGAACCATTAATTGGGCGTGATCAACCACTGCCAACTACAACTCAAGAACTAATTGATATATTATCAAGTGATTCTGATCCTATGCAGACAAGACCAATGATAATAAATGCACCAGAAACTGAAGAAAATACAGAAGTTGTGCCAGACGGAGTTCAACATTGTTCAATAGATATTCCAACGAATGAAGTAATCTCTAGATCTACTTCACAACCAGAACCAGAAATTGAACCAGAACCAGAACTAGAACCAGGACTGGAATCGGAACTAGAACCAAAATTAGGATCAGACCTAGAACCAGAATTAGAACCAGAACCTGAACTTAAGCCTGAACTTGAACCTGAGCATGAACCTGAGCATGAACCTGAACCTGAACCTGAACCCGAACCCGAACCCGAACCCGAACCCGAACCCGAACCCGACCCCGAACCCGAACCTGAACCTGAACCTGAACCTGAACCTGAACCTGATCTTGAAACAGAAGCAGAAATAGAACAACCAGTTCGTACAAATGACACTGATATGGCTACAGCTAAGATCTTAGTTGATCAAGATTGGTTCTCTGGTAGTGACGATAGCGAAGGTGTCAGTTGTAATGTCGAAAGTGATATAGCATTACATGTAACAAGTACAGTCTCTGAATCACAGCCAGCAAATGTTCCATCTGCAACTGTTCAGAAACCTGCTACTAAAAAGGGTAGTATTTTTAAGAGTCGTTCGACGGGTGCAACAAACGGAAATAAAAGACGGGCATTGTACAAGCATAAGTGGTGCGACAGTGATAAAGAATCTAATACCACAGATGCTCCTAATACTGGAAATACTACACCAACGATTGCTTCAGGGTCCCATAGTGGTACAGGACCTGTAGCATACGAAGAAGAATTTGATTCTTCGCAACTAACAAGAGTTGTAATATACCCTGAAGCCGATACTGGTTTTGAAGATGAATCGGATGCTATAACAAGTATTCGTTGTGGCAAGAAAGTTAAAGGAGTATGTATATTAGAAAAGAAACTATTATATTCTATAGTAGCACTCGTAATTTTTTATACACCATGGTAACAAAAAGTTAATAATATTATATCGATCTTTTAATAATTAGTTTAGTATGTTGTAGGAAATTATTTTACCACCTTGTTTCCATTGCATGCATAAAAAACTAAAGGCGATATGCATAAAATTGTATAATTATTTACTTAATTTTATAGTTCTATACCGTAGTAAAAAATGTGAAAAAAGCTCATCAAATTCAAGAAAGTGGAGAATTTCAAGAATTTAACGATGACGTTGAATATATATTAGACACTTTAAGAGAAAACAATCCAAATGCTACTCGATGCCTTTCAGCTATACGATTAGCAAGCAAATGTATGGCGCCTGCATTTCGTATGCATGTGCGTGCTCATGGAACTGTTGCTAAGTTTTTCAAAGCACTTCACGATGCCACCAAGGATCAGGTATAGAATTTTATTTTTTATAAATATATTGTGTATAAGTTTTATAATTATTGTATGTTTAAAATCTGAAAAATTCTATACTTTCTTTCAGAGTCTTGCTTTATGTACAGCAACAGTAATGTTTGTGTTAAGTCAGGATCGTTTAGCTATGGATTTAGACCGTGATTGCTTGGAATTAATGTTAAGTTTGTTAGAATCTGATGCCAGCCATAAAGATGCACTTGATGATTGTGGCCTTAGTCGGGCAGAACTGTTAAAAAATAAAGAAAAAGTACGTCAATTATGTGCTGACATACAAGCTCAAGGACATGCAAAACATTTAAATCTTGATAATATAACTGTAAGTATTTCATACATAATTTCATAAAGCGACAACAATATGAACAATGAACGTGACCAATAACAAATTATTTTTAATTAGGTTGGTCAACTTGCTATGGAGACGCTTCTTAGTCTTACATCGAAACGTGCTGGTGAATGGTTCAAAGAAGAACTCAGAGAATTGGGAGGTTTAGAACACATTATAAAAACAATCAGAGATTGTCACCGTCATATTAATGCTCAGGATATTACAAGATCTGGTTGGTCGGATCCATTATTAGACAAATTACGTAAAGTTGATAGATGTCTACGTGTATTAGAAAATGTGAGTTATACATATTTACATATTCAATAATACAGATACATAATATCCATAATAAAATATATTATTAAAATTTCATATTCTTTCAGGTTACCCACATGAACGAAGAGAATCAGGTATATTTGTTAAAATATGAGAACGGAGTTTTAGTCAGCACTTTAGCAAACTTGTATTATCTTTGTGGACAAGAAATTCCTATTTATCCAACTATAGATCCAAGTGATAAAACTTCCACTGGTGCTGTTATCAGAGAGTGTCTATTCGCTATTATTAAAGTTCTCATTAATCTTACACATCGATTCAATAGACAATGTAAGATTTTATTATGGCGTATCTCTTCATTGATCAAATTGTTGATGAATGTACGGTCATTCTACTAAATAATAACATGTTTTATACTTATTTTAGCTTTTGGAAGTAAATCAGTAGGTACACAACCAGGTGTCTTAGATTGCAGTTTATATCTTTTGTTACGCGTACCCGAATCACTTCCTGAAGAAAAGCGTTTTGATATGATGATGTTGGCTTTGATTCTACTGATAAATTTAGTAGAGCAATGTGACGATAATAAACAACTTCTTATCGAATCGAAAGCTCCGCCATCGACAGAAAATATTTTTGACGGTAAATACATTATACATTTTTTTCACAATGACAAAAATTTAATTGTACTTATCTCACCTTTTCTGTAATATAGCCGAGGAGAGCGGAGTAGAATCTTTAATTGATCTTTTTTACAAACAAGAAGAATTAGCTCGTGCCGAAGAGCAAAAAACGGATGCTATTTTAGATGGTAAAAAAGATTCCGAACAAACGGAAACTGTATCGACAACAACTAAATCTCAAGAAGAATTTATTGAAGAAACTGTTACAAAATGTTTGTATAATTTTAGTTTTGTATCAATAAAAATTTTATAAAACGTAATTCATAAATTATTCTGTTTCAGTATTGCAAAAGGCGGGACGTCATATGGAACATACTTTAATAGGAGCATATGTAGTGCTTTTACTTGGTTACTTAATAATGGATAATAAGGTAATAAACTTTAAACTGAAATAAAAGTAATTAAACTCAAATACCAAATAATTTATATGTATTTCTAGGATTATGAATCGTTGGTACGTAGTAGACTTCCAGATAACAACTTTACTACTATGGTGTCTGTACTTCAGAAATTTTTCAATTTTATGAATTTAACGGCATCGGTAATTATTTTTTACTAATTTTTTTCAAGCTTTATCAATCGTCAGGGTATTCAATTATTTCTGAATATAAAAAAAAAAATTAATTTATTGCAGAATGAAGTAAGTAGCTGTGGAATTGCTGCTACTGAAAAGGTGATTAAGTTCCTAAAGATGTCAGATGCCAGAATTGAAGAAGAAAAAAATGAACTACCATTACCGGTGTTAGAAGATCCAAACATAATGCTCGATTTGTCTTCGTCTTGATTGATATCTCATACACACATTTGACATTTTTTATTACCCTGGCATGCAAAGAGAGCCAAAGTTATATGTCTCCAACGAAGGAAATTCTTTCTATCGCAGTATGAATGGACGTGTTTCATATTGACCATATATTTTGATATATATTTATTCACTTACATAATTTATTGCTGTACCTTTCATTAAATTGATTTATTTCCCCGTTAGCAGTAACAAGTTAGATATTAAGTATAAGTTGTTAATTAATTCCGCAGAAACTAATACCATAAAGAATACGCCTTGTAATTACGCATATGGCTCATTTAAGTTTTCTGCTGGCGTGTATGTATTATTATCGATTATATGATTCGCCGATCGGTTTTTTTAATATTTCTAACTGTCAAGAAGAGTGACAAGATGTAAACGTCTTCTTGTCAGATCATAATTTCTTTGCTGTATAATAATGCATAAATTTGAAATTTTATAATTACTTGGAAATTTTAAATTATCTACATTGTAAGTTACGTTGAGCGATTCGCGGCGTTAGAGTTTACCATAACTCATTAAAATTTGAAATAGCATTATTATCTAAGTTTATTTTAATATTAAAATTATACTATAAGCCTTGTAAATGTAAATTTATAAATTATAATTGTATCTTAAATTCACAGTTTCAAGTTATTAGATCCCATTGACAGGCACAAGTTTTCACAAACCTTTAATCGCGTATTTTGTCTGACAAAATAAGGGAATGAATAAGAGATATATCACATTGTTATGTATATGCAATAAACTAGCTTTGAAACTACAAATCTGTAAAATAAAACACTTTTTAAATAAAAATCAAATACGTCATGTATTAGACAGCATAAAATATAATTTTATTCTGTATTAAATATTTATTTTGATTTCTTTTCCTTCCTATGTAGGTTCCTTATTTCAGTATCTGTGACTAATTTCAAACAACCTATTGCCGTGTGTAAATGTATAAATTTTATAGGTACATATAACGATTACATTTAGGCAGTGGTATTAATAGAATTATAAAGAACAGAAGTACGGAAAGATACCTGATGTAAAATTCAAATTTTCCTCCGTGATCCTCTCAACGTACATATTTAGATTTTAGGCATCTCATTGTGGTGTTACAAAGAGACCAAATACTTTGCCAGAAAAATGAGAAATGTACATGTGATAAACAAAATCATATAATTGAAATACATACATATACATGTGCTCATTCATAGGAATAATAAAAATAATTTCTATTTTTTCAATGGTCAAAACATGATCAGAGTATCCTTAGAACGTGTATTTCCGTGTAAATTTTTATCCACAGATTGAAATGGCCAATTTATTCAATGGTACTCTATTGTACAATATAGCTAATAATTTTAAATCACGGTACGACATGGAAGGTTATATAAATACAATTACGCCTTCGTTTGCATCATATCTTTAAAATGAAATCAATCCCCGTAAGAAACAAAGACCAAAGTCCAAAGAAAAAAGCAAAGTCCGACCAAAATACAGACGATAATGATACAGAATATTTTAGTGCAGACGAAGATATGTACCTCCGAATCTAATAACCAGACTATTCACGGCGTAAAAACCATGAACACAATGTATAGAACCTAATTTATATAAATTTAATCGTCATTTTTCCTTTTTCTATGCATCATTACTACTTATTATCGAAAATTATTGTCATTATTCATTAAAATAATTTGTAAATTCAATAAGAAACGAGTACATTGTCATGCTGCATATATTTATCATTTCTAACCTTATTTAAATCGAAAAAATCGATACTATTAATTTTATTCCTTTACGAAAGAAAAAGCTTATAATCGAAGGCAATTGATATAAATTATCAACAAAAATTTGATATTTATTTGTACATCCGGATAACGGTTTGAAATATTTGTTAATAGATTCAAATCTTTAAATTAAACGTAAACGGAAGTTCGTTTATGAATAAATTTGGTGGTAATTTAATGCATCGAAATCGACAATAGTGACGACGAACTTCTTTAGCGTTTAACGGAGTGGTGGGGACAGCCGACATATCCTACCGCACGAGCCACATGTTACGCCAGGTCAGCACTTGACGCGCAACTTCCAACAACATAAAATTAAATATACATCTAAATATTTTAAACATACGCATGAAATTTCAAGCGAACATTTCTGCATTTTTAAAACATTATAACTTCTGAACGGATTGGAGGATTTTAATGTTTCAAATTGCAAACAACGCGTATTTTGGTGAAGAATATGTAGAAATTCTAAGAATATTCGAAAAGTTGTTCCATAACGTCGTAAAGTGACAAAATGCTCAGAAAAATTGTCAATTTTCAAACGATCATAACTTTTACAATAGTAAAACTTATATCATTGAAATTTTTTCTAGAAGTAGTACCTAGAAAAAAGTATTAGACAACATTTGATTTTGATTTCGATTAAAACTGAAATTTATATTGTTTTAAATTCGCAGCCATTAGCTCGGTGTTACCCATAATGAAGAAGTTCTTCTTGAAAGGTAACACCGATTACCAGGTCTCACCACGAGGAGGTTGCTGCGATTGGAGACCCAAAGTGAGATCGATGGAACAAAGTTCGATCGACCTTCCTTTTTACACACTTAGAAACTAGATTACGCAAAAAAAAAGATGCCAAGTAATTACTTTTCTAAAACAAAGGAGGAAGCGAAATTGTGGGAGACGCGACACGACGAAACGCGACACAATGCTGCACAGTGCAGTAGGAACATGAGGTGCGACACCGTACCGAATAGCGGGTCAAAAGGGGCAGCTCGTTACCTCTTAGCAAGTCCAATTGAAGGGGAGGAGAATCGACGCACCAGACACGGGTTCCCCATTTCTCCAACGCGCCCTGCTGGGAGCCCGTAGGACCCAACCCGGGACGTCTTACACAGGAGAGAGATCCTGAGTCGGGGCTACCGCAGACAGGAACAGGTCCCCTCTACGGCCGATGACTCTTTCCCTAGAATTGTCTCACCAGAGGACGGCAACCGACCCTTCGAACCATCTAAACGGCCGATCACTTGCTTTTTACATCAAAGCAGCGGTGACCGGAGCTAGAAACGGGGAAACGAGACTGGAAAATAAGCTATTAATTAATTCATTACTTGGCAATCTACGCAGTAAATAAAATAATATACAATGTAAATTGAAAATTAACGTCGTAGGTGGAATTGAGAATTAATGTGAATTAATGAAATATAGGAAACATCGGAAAAACAAGGAAAAGAAGGAAAAAGAAAAATTCGACGTTAATTTTTACATTCGCGCTGCGCCTTAAAATTAATCGCTTACGTGTAAATCCCGATGAATCCGACGTCATCTATTGATCTCCTCCTCCTCCTAGAAATTGATCTGGTAAAAAACTGAAATAAAAATTAGTAGTTATGTGTACATGTAGACAAATAATAAAACCTAAATAACAAATTAGTTTGAAATAAGGAATTGGAACAATCCAACGAAGTAAATTAACGAAACGAATCATTCGAAAAAAAAGAAACCAACGATGTGTACTTTGAATTATAGATTAATTTTGAAAATTAAAAAACCAACGAAGCGCAAGACGAATAACAAAATAAATCGTAAAAGAACAAACCAACGATGAAAGCGAGACGAAGATAGAATAGAATAAATTGAAAAATATCAACCCAACGATGTAATTAATATAGATAAAACTAGATGAACGAAGAACCCAAATATGAAAATACCTATATACATAAAAATGCAGAAAAACACAATATTTTCATTAGTTATATTAATATTAATTGTATCTATACCAAAACCAAAGGGTGATCCTTCCTTCCTGGTCAGCATCGCAGAAGATATCTGAAACAGAAAACAAAAACGCGTGACAGTACCCCCGGCGGTTCCAGGAGTACTGAAAAGAGTTGCCCAGCTGTGTCCACTTTTATGCAGTCAAGCCAAAGAATCAACGAGCCAATCAGCAGCCAGTCCGCTGGGGGCGACCATCGTCCGTCCACCTTGAAACGTTATAAGAGCCCCCTGAGGCCCTCGCGCGGGAGTTATCTCCCAACCACCAAGCAAGACGGACCGCATCGAGATGAAGAATTTAATTGAAGATTTACATTCGATCAAAATCGAAGATGGCGGCCAAGAAGATGTTTCACGAGCAACGGGCAAGGGAGAAAACCGGTCTTTTTAAAGACCAAGAAAATCTCATTCGTGGGAACAACTTATGCAATGAACTGAACAACTTTTATATTTAACAACTCAGAGACACTTTACATCTCTGTTTTGTAACAACTTTTATATTTAACAATTCAGAGACACTTTACATCTCTGTTTTGTAACAACTTTTATATTTAACAACTCACAGACACTTTACATCTCTGTTTTGTAACAACTTTTATATTTAACAACTCAGAGACACTTTACATCACTGTTTTGTAACAACTTTTATATTTAACAACTCAGAGACACTTTACATCTCTGTTTTGTTACCGACTTTTATATTTAACAATTCAGCGACACTTTACATCTCTGTTATGGAACAAGTTATGCAATAAAACTGAACATGGTATATTTGCCTATATGTATAGGAAGGAAATTCGTCGTTAGTATTGTCGCCCGTCAATGCACTTAATTATGCAAGATCAGTATACTATCTAATTTTATTTTTATTATACCGGTTTGTAATATCGTAAAGATCAATGCAAAAACATTATGCACAGCTCTTGTATTTCTTTGATTTATCCAAGTAGTCAAAGTATAATATTTAACAAACTTTTGGTTCAAATAAAATAACGAATGACACAAAATTTGAGTACCTGTTACATGTAACCTATGTATAAATGCATAACTAATATTGATATACGCATAACGAACTTAGTTTGTGATATGAAACATTAAGAAAAGTGTAAATTAATAAATAAGTTTCAAAATGGGTATTCCAGGTTTAACAACTTTCATAAACAATCGTTCAGATCGTTATTTGGAATATTTCGAGCTACGTGATACGTATTTAGTTATTCAGCTGTCAAATATATAATTGGTACAAGTGCAATTGTGTTTTTGTCGGTGATTACGATAAATACGCTCAACGAGTATCGGATTTTTTTGACGATTTGATAAAGTGCAATGCAGTACCATTAGCTTTGATCGATTGTGGTTGCGAGGATAAGAAACTGCAAACAGTTATATCTAGATCTAGAGAAAAGGTTCGTACAGCATCATCTTATTCTCCGATCTGTCAACAGAAAATGAAATTTTTTCCTTTACATATTTAGGAAGTTTTCAAAGATGTTAGGAGAAAGAAGAATATTCGTCATGTGCAATGCTTATTCGAAGCTGATAATGCTATAGCTACCGTAGCAAGGATATTGAATTGTCCTGTATCGAGTTATAATTCAGATTTTTATGTGTTTGGGACATTGCACATACCGTTTGATACATTGGACAATTACACGGTGAAAAGTTCAACTGGAAATGGTTACACGAAACGTTGTAAAATTTATAAAGTTGAACACTTATTAAATTCTTATAGAGGTTTAAGTCAATCTACACTGCCATTAGCTGCAATATTACTAGGCAATGATTATGTAAAACGTGGTACATTTAGAAACTTCTTTCGTTATTTAAAGTTACGACGAATAACAAGAAAAAGGTATAGTAATCGACAGTATTGTATAGAAGCAACTTTACAATGGTTGAGCGGA